TGTACCCGTCCTCGCTTATTGATTTGGACGGATTTCAATGCCACGCGCTTTCGTAGGTTGATTGGGAGGCAGCAAAGGACAAAACCACCCACCCATAGATTGTTGAGTCCGCAACTCACCCTCCATTTTAGAGCGTATTCTCACTGTAGCAAGCAACTTCAGGCTAGCAGTGCTCTGGCCAGCCTCCTGTCACGTGCGCGCCCTCTCCTCGTCTAGTTGACTTGAAAGGAATCCTCGAAGGGTGGTCCAACGAGCTTCAACTTTCATAACTATAAGTAGAACTGGAACACTTTTGCGACCTCAGGCTTAGCAGCAACTGTGTTGGACATCCGCAGGAGTAGCTTCGTAGCCTCTCACGTGGTGCTCCATCCCCTTGCCCGCCTCTCAGATTCTGTTCCTTGCGAACGCCGTATTTTTTCATCGCCATTGCTGAGTTCCACCTTTCGGCTTCGACTCTCATTTTTTTCTGCAGCGCCCCTCCCACCGGCGGCGGACGGGTGGGGCCAGGCTCGCAAAGGACCAATAGAAGAACGTATTTCGGGACGTGTTGGGATAAGCGAGGCCCTCTAAGCTTGAAATCTACACTTTTCTCCACCGCATTTTGCTTGACCCTCACCTTCAGCCCCTTGTGCTCCGGCGTCGCTGACGAGCAAGAAGCGTTCAGAGAGTGTCGTCAGGCACACAGAAACCTTACTGAATACACTTATCGGCACATTTCACGTGACATTGCAAGCCTCAAGTCGCCTCTAGAACCGAACACATGATTCCACTGCTTTCGAGTAATAACACACAATGCTGGTTGAAGTTGAGGCCGTACCGAGGAAGTCAGATTTGGCTTGAGGTCTTAGATATCTCACCCCAATCACAAACCTACAACACAAACAAACAACACTTATATCAAAATGGAAAGCTCCATGGAAACCCTGAATCTCGGAATCTGGGCTACTGTCCCTTCAGTGTAATCTGATGGTGGACAAAGTCGTAGTTCCTCGTCGCCATGGCTGAGTCTCGATGTTCGCTTGTTGTACCTGCAGGCTGCAGCTATTTTTTGCGCTGCCGGATTCCATTGCCATAACGTAACTTTTTTTCCATCGGCCCGGTATTTGGGTGGCCGTGAATTGCCGCCTGTGTCATTGAAGCACCACTCGCATTGAGTCTACCTCAAGCTACATAGACGAACCAATCGAAGGCCATAAATTTCGGGAAGGGTCGGCATGGGCAGGATAAGCGAGGTCCTCCAAGCTTGAAATCTACACTTTTCTGCACCGCATTTTGCTCGACATTCACATTCAGCGCTTGTTGGAGCCCTTGCGAATCGGACTCGCCGATGGGAAGAAGGGTCCAAATCTTCTTTTTCCGGCTCCCCTTCCGGCTCGTCCAAATGGCGACTCCAAAGGATTACTGAATGCACAGATTAGCACATTTCACGTGATGTTGCAACCCTGATATAGCCTTTAGAACCGAACACATGATTTCTCTGCCTTCAAGTTACAACATGCAAGGCTGGGTGACGTTAAGGCCGGAAGCCAGATTTGGCTTGAGGTCTTGGATATCTCGCCTCCAATCCCAAGCAAACAACACTTATATCAAACTGAAAAGCTCCATGAAAACTCCGAACATGGGCTTCTGCCCTTTCTGTATAATCTGATGTTTGAATAGTCGGCTTTCTCGGGGTTTTTACTTTAGCCCGATGCGAAGTAAAAGGGGAAATAGGAGGAACGAATGGCAATCTAGATGGCGCGGGGTGATCGCTACGTGGAGCTCAGGAGTTCTCTCTCTTCACACTGGCCAGTAAGAAAGAGAAGAGATATCTAGTTAAACTCGGAATTTGAACTTTCGTGCACCGCATTTTGCGGTCTCACAGGCAAGCCATACTGCTGAGCCTCCCCTTCCTGAGCTTTTTCCGAGTACCAGCCGCAAACTAGCCAGCGTTGCTGTCATGTTTTGAGACCATATCACGTGAACTTTCACGTGATCTGCATTACTATACATTATGCTCAGCAAAACCTCTCCTTCGTCACTTATCTCTTCTAGAATCCCTTCCGTATTATTCGGGTTGGTGAACAATCTGTCGGTTCTTCTAAGCTATCACATTCCTCTCATATCAACAGGAATATCGAAAAGCAGCACACTTACGGTCTGCTTCAGTGCCTCACTGTCTCATTCTTCCTTCTGACGTTTACACTGAAATAATAAACAAACAAGCAAGCAAACCTCCTGATATCCATGCAATGAGACGCTCGCCCCACTTTCACATGTCTTCGTTCTTGCAAATGCGGTGCAAAAGAGTTCAGATTGCAAGCTTCACAGCCCTCGCTTGCAGCAAATATCGCCTTCTTATTGGCGAGTTTAAGCAAACTTAATCACTCGTTTGTAAACCTCACTCTTGTCTGAACGTGGCCAATATAGCGCTTCACTTGCATGTGAACGTCGACTTCCAAATCCGGAACTAGAATGTTTATTTCCACATGCGTTCGAGGAGCAACTGAATTGATTATTCACGGAATGGCCTCGCTCGCTCTAAGACAGTGCAACTAAGTCCCTGCGCCACGGCTGCGGAGTTCCTTGAATTTTTCTTTGGCTTTGCATCTCGTCGATCTTCGCTCTAGCTCCCTCAGCAGGAGCAGAAACCGTCGAAGTTTCTGGTTCCTCTGGGGGCCGGAAGAATGTTTGAATTGCAAGGTGGAAGACGAATCAGTTCGCCAATAAGATGTGCTACTTGCACAGTCGTCCGCTACAATTGCGATGGCTGCCCCACTTCTCTCTTTCCTACTTCCAGACACCACCATTCTAGAGTCTGGATTTCCCATTCGAGTTGGGGGAAAGTAAATACTGAGCGAGAATGTAGTGCTGTATCTATTAGGCACGTCGAACGCTCGAAGGAGATAACCAATGCAGGAAATGCCGCACAAGGTCAAAGAAGGACACGAGTCCAGTGGATGCTAGTAGGATCGTCAAGATGCACTGGCTCCCCCAACTCATCTCCTCCTGCAAGAGACAAATCAATAGCTTCGCCAGAGAGTGCTGGACATGGCACTGGAGGAACGGTACCACCGGTATGCTTTACAAGAAGCGGTGGCACGACAACGGCATGTCTCTCGATAGACATGTCAACAAACTTTACTCAGTTCTCTCTCTCAAAGCCGACGCCTCTGTTCTTATCCAGATGAGAATAGAGAAAATCGCGCTCCACGGATACCTCCACAAGATTAACCGATCCGATGAACCACGGTGTGGCTGTGGCCAAGCTTACAAAACAGTACGTCATATTATCGAAGACTGCGAGGGTCTTGAGGATACTCGCCTCACGTACCTAGGGGCAAGCTATGTCAGAGATGCCAGAATGTTCCTCAGAGACATAGAGCTTATACCCAAAACTGTCAAATTCATGCTTGCTACTGGCCTCCTGGGTCAGTTTGCGAGTCTCACAAAGACACTCTTACCACTGTAGATTGGGGACGAGGCCTTCTCAGGCGTGTTTGAATTACTGGACCAATTGAGTCCCTGCGGGGGCTAACATTTTTATTATATCAACATATATAGAATCGGAAAGGGGCACAGAATGGAGGTCACAGGGAGTTCGGGATATATTTTGATTTTTGTCTTTCTTATCGTTGCATTTTCAGTTCTGGAGCGGAGCCGTAGGCTCGTGACCACATTTGTAGTGTAACCCCTATGGATAGTGCATTATATCTGCATGGCGCCTCAGGCAGCTAGAAGGTTCACCAGCCAAGCGCCCAAACCACTCAACCGCCCACTTATGCCCCTTGTCGGAACACCAAAAATCCATGAATTTCCCAAAGTGCTTAGAAAATTCTCAGAACTTCTCAGAGTATGGAAAATGCCCCAAAAAGTCCGATTCTGACGTTAGTTTCTCGAAATTGGAGTGCTGTCGTGGCCAAATTCAGGTTTGAGCACTTGAGTGGTGTGGGCGTTTGGCTGTGCAGCCTTTGACCAGTAGAACACAAAAAAACCCAAAAAAAAACCCCCCCGGAAATCGGCACAGCGACCTGGTGACCCCGACAGTACCCAGGATTCTGACCAATAGCTCCTCAAGCGAGGCTCCCTGAGCTCGAAATCTAAACTTTTCTGCACCGCATTTTGGTTGAAATTGAAAAATTTTCATCAGAGTTTTCCAACGGCAGCAGAAATCCCTCATTCACCACGTGCAACAGGAACACGCAGTTTCGGACGCGGTCGACTGGTGTCAGGTGCGCCCAACTATGCTTGAATTGAATAGTTAGAACTTTGTGACTTATGGCCTTGAAATCATGCGCTGTGGAGGTCTTGTGGAAGAGTCAATGAGCACAATTTGTGACGAACCCACTTCGCTTTGACACCGTAATTGACAAGCCAAAAGCAAATTTCTGCGTACGTTCAATTTCAGCCAGTTGACTTCCAAAACGACGGTCTGGAAATACACTGTCGACCAAAGGCGCCCATGACTGGACAAGTAAGCTACCTTGCTCTCAACGCTGATTCTTCCTTTTCTGCACCGCATTTGCTGTAATTAGTGCTCTATCTTCTCATGTGCATGTCGATTTTAAGCTTAAGCTAATCAATGCCGTTCCTCTTTATTTCGTGTTGAGCGTGAACAACGAGCAACTCACCCCCACAAAATTAAGGATATACCTGTCTACTTGATATTTTCACTTGCCAATACGCTCATCAGTTTTGATCATTTCACCACTCGATGAGTCAACTCAATTTTCTGTTCGTAATCTAAACAGTGAGTAAGCTTCATTATTACCCTTTTCTAGTTGCCAGTTGCTGACTTACGTATCAGCCTGACGGGTCTGGTCAAGTAACAAAAGGCCCATTCTTTGAAATAAGATGTGGGCGGGTAGCTTAAAGAACCAAAATTAAAGTACTTCAGAGCAATTTAGTAATTTCGTTAGTGACTGCGGTGGAATTGCAATTCTACATTGCTTTTCGTCTCGCCGATTTTCGCTCTCCCAGAAGCCTGTTCCCCTCCCTCCCCCCCCCCCCCCCCCCCCCCCCCCCCCCCGAGGTATTCACATACCCGATTGATGAACAAATGCGACCTCTCCGATCAAACTTGTTCTTCAAACCCCAGTAACTCATCGCCTTCAGAGGCTTGAGTGCACTCAGTACTCTTGGATGCATGCGTACCTGCATGACGGTCACACTCGTACTTCCTTACAAACCCCTTTCCGCACGTTGCACAAATGAAAGGTCGTTCCTTGCCGTGTTCCCTAAGCTGATGTGTCTTGAGGTTGTTGGCTCTGGTAAACTGTTTCGGGCAGAGATTGCATTGAACAATCGAAGGAGGCTTCTTGACGTGAGGAAACTTCCAAGCAAAAGACTGTGGATCGGGGTGGTATTGGCTCATATGCTTTTTCAACTCCTTTTGTGTTGCCCAGCCGATGTACATTCTGGTACAGCCGATTTCAGTGCAGCAGAATGGTTTCTCGTGCCGGTTGGTGTGTTGTAGCAGGCCTCGCTCACTTGCGAAGCCCTCGTGGAAGTAGTAGCAGGCATGTCGGGAACATTTGTACCAGTTGTCTCCGTAGAAGTCTTTCGGATTCTGAGCGACAGGGTGACCTGGTATTGGGACAGGTTGGTCACTTGTCGAAACATGCAACTCTTCGAGCATAGTACGAACTCGAGCGATGATTACGCCTAGTGACCCAAGCGCTTCCAGCTTCTCCTCGGCGAGGCGACTGGTTTTGGTATGGTAGAGAAGCGATAAAAGAGGGTCATAGTAATCTGCCTTCTCAATCGATTTACATTGTTGGGCGTATTCTTTCCGTGCATCACTTGATTCCATTGGCCCTGGATCGTACATTTCGGAGAAATCATTGATTGCTATGCCAAGGTCGGCTGAATGGCACAAGTCATCTGCATCTAGGAAGCGAATCGCTGCCTCGAGGTGATGGTTCCAATGCAGGCTGGCGTAATCGAGGAATGCATAGTAGCCTTGCACCAAGAAGCTTCGCATCTCGTCTTCTGAAATGGTCGCATCGAAACATTCGAATGTGAGGTATTTCATGCAAAGCACTCCAAGTAAAAGCTCCACTTTATGCTCGTCGATTAACTTGTTGTGGATAAGGTACCTTTATTGTGATTAGAGAATATGCAGTTCAAGGGTTGGGGAGTTCTCACTGGCGAGCAGTTTTATGGACCAGAGAGAATCTGTTTCCTGGCAGCACTTCCACTAATGACCCACATATATCCCGTGCATGGTCGGGAAATTGACGACCTGCAAAGTTGACAAAGCCTTGCTCTACGTCGATTGAGGCTGCTCCCTGAATTTCTTGCCATTTCAGTGGGCGCCTTGTGCATGTAATCCAGCTAAGTAGCTGCCGTGCTGTTCTTCGTTCTCCCGGATTGGGATTCTCAAATATCCTGCTCACAATACGTGCGTATCTATTCGTATTAGCAGGCATCCAAAGATAATTTGAGTGATTATACGCTTGTTCATATCCTCGAGGGAATATGTCCGGGTGCATCTCCTTGTAGACGTCTTCCAGGCTTTGCTGGCCAAAGAGATTTTCAAGCACAAGTTTTGCAAAAAGGAACATGCCATCGTGTCCTTCACAAACTAATTCCACGATGTGGTCCCTTGCCTCGTCAGACATTAGTTTAAATCTCTCTTGGATGTCCGCTGCCCGCCTGGTAGCGTAATTCTTGACGTCAGCCTTGCTATTCTCCTCATTCAAACGCAAGGTTTCTGGATTATGCAAAGCCGTCTTGATGTCGCTGAGTTCTTGGCTGACGAATAAGCCCCTGATCTTCCCTGGATCACAACCGTTGATTGCAGAGACAAAGAAATTGAGGATAGCTCTTCTTTCTTTTTGTTCGCACTCGTCAATTCCATCAATTACGATGAAGGTTTTGGGTACAGCCTGTAGAACAGTATTGAGGAGCTTGACGCAGTCCTGCGGAGATGCCAGAGTCACTCTAGCACTTTTTAAGCATTCTTCATAAAGGTACGCCAGGATTTCCGGGTTTTGTCGAAGCAGCTGAGATAGCATCGCTTGTGCCACGTTTATAAACTTGTTCCTCTGGCTATCCTGGTCTCTGCAATAGAAATATGCCAACGACAGCTCGTCTTTTTTTGATTCGGGCAGTTTCAAGCACTCTTCAATAATGAGCGATGCAAGAATGGTTTTGCCTATTGGGCGTTAACTTGTAATTAGCGGACAGTAGAAGAGAGTCTAGTACCAGCACCAGGAATACCACTTAACCAGAAGATGGGTACGGATGAATCAGCTAGATCAAACCAGTCCTTAATCTTCGGCTCCTTCAGAATCCAACGACCACTGTCGGGAGTATATTGTCGTTTATTGGCGAACTCTTCTTGATCCAAAGCTGCATCAGCCGCCGAAAGCCAGTTGACTACCGCAAGGGTTTTGGCTAGGTTCTGTTCCCTTTCAAGAGCAGTAAATGATGCCTGTGACTGAAGGCGAGCATTGCGTGATTCTTGGATCTCCACCAGGTTCGTTTTCCTCTCAATTAATTCTCGGTGCCGAATTATATCATCCAAGATTGGTTTGGAGCTTTCTTGGAAGTCTTTCCACGTGGCATTGAAGAATTGCCGCCACGCTGTCTTTGGTTAGCGCTCAACTGGTTGACGAGATGATGGGCAGCACCTGGCTGAGTGAATACTCTCAAAGCACGAAGATGAAATTTCAAGATGTCTTCATAGATCCAGACCAGAATTTTCTTCATATGTTCATTATCTTGGAACATTGAACGGTATTGCATCAGAAGAGGGAAGTTTTCCGCCAACTGTTTGTACGCGTCCAGCAGTATGTCGAATGACTTGGCCCAGTTACTTGCAGTCTGCGAAATATCAGCTTAGGCACTGCCAATTTTGTTTTCTCTTCCGAAGCGGGTTTGAAACAAAAGCAGTCAGTCAAAGCTTACTAGGAGCATGAATTTCATTGGCCCCCAAATAAAGGAAAGCATTGAAGAAGCGTTCAAAAAGACTTCGATAACCTCCTTATATTGCATCATTGCTTGGAGGAAAGGTTGAATCCTGGTGAGATTCTGATTTGTCTTGTTTTTTTTCTGCTTCTCTTGCAGATCCTTCGTCGCCAATTCGAGATCATTGAGGCTCGTAAAGGCAAATTTGGCCAGCTCATCAGGCTTGAGGCGCTTTTTGAATTCGGCCAGAACTTGCTTGAAGTGGTTTTCAAGAGTGGACATTTTCGGAAGCAACCATTACTCTGAATTGCTCGAATTTCAGTTCAGATGCAAAGATTGATGTTGCGGAAGATGGAATGAAATCTGAATGGTAGTGCCCAAGGCTGATCAGGCTCTCGGTCGTGGCGTTTGTGGACGCGGCGAAGTGCATGCAGGTGGCAGTGCCGTGTGCGGCAACCCAAACCACGACAGAGCCTCTTGAAGAGCCTCGCCAGCCTTGCCAATACCACACTTCAAGTTCTCGCGCTTTTATAGAGCAGATGGTATGACTTTATGCTCAGGGCTTTTGCGAATTGGAAGACTGAGAGAATGTCCTTCCAATTTCTGGACTTTGACGACCCAGCGTCTCAAAACGATTCCGATTGCAGTGGCGGTGAGAGTGATACCTCCGGCATTTCTGGGGGTGACTCCAATGGCAGCGGGAAGAGCTCGTGCGTCAACGACCTTTATTCGGAGTCCGCTAACTTAAAAGGCTCAGATTAAACCGAAGATCAAATCGAAAACGCGTGAGGGCCAGCCGGCGGTCGTTCGATCGGGCGTCTTGCGAGCGTGACGATACATCAGATGACCAGTCTAGGGAGGGTGTATTCGGAAATACCAAGCGCCACCAGCTTCACCATCCAAGGAAAGATCGGTTCCGGTCGCCGTCACCATTCCAGGGATGGGAAGATGGAATTGATATAACACCTCCAAGCCAGTCCCAGTCGAGCGAGAAAGAGACGGACAGCCAATTGCCATATAGCGAGGGACAAGATAGCCAATCTGATGTCGATTGGGAATCACTTCTCTGTGAAGATGTCGAGATGTTACCCGAGTCAAACTGGGAGGCAGACTTTCTCGCCCATCAAGCACAAATAATGGCATGCTCTGGCTATCGAGGTCTACAACATAACGAGTTGATTGACGACAATGGAGATGAGCCATGGCACCCATATGACCCGGAGAGTATGATTTTGGACGGCCACATGGAGCTTCACATCGATTCAACCAAGGACAAACTAGAAGGAGACAAAATCATTTGCTACGGAGTGGTGAGTCCTAAAAATTTCTTTCTTGCAAGCGCGCTGTGCATCTTTTTGGACACCAGACCGTAGAAGATTCGTTCATTTCAGCTATCAATGGACGTAATATTGTACTGTTGTCCAGCAATCTGTGACCCCCATCCAATCCATGTTATCTTGAGACTTCCCAAGTACGCAAAATATAAGAATAGCTATTTGCAGTTATCTACCACGAAACAATCGCAATTGTTTGTTATTTAATATTACATTTCAATCATTAACACGAGGAACAGATCCATAAAGTGGGTGTGAAAGTACTCGAGCAAGCTCGCAATGCTTTACAACGACTTAAGTCAGCGCAGATCATTTCCGAATCTCTCAGTGAACGGAAAATTTATCTTTTCAATATTTCGCGGGAAGATAAATTGTTTCTATTGCAACCTCCCATAGCCTCAGATAAAGACTTTTTTCATTTCAACAACATCGCGGTATTAAATAAAGGACACTCTGAAATACTCTCCGAACTAGCTCCGTTTTGCAAATTCGAAGTTTATTCGTCTTCCGCTGACTGGGATTTGGTCGCAAACGGGACTGCATCTATCGACAAGCAAACGTTCCTTCTCACTGATGTGATTATTTACGGTCCAAAAAGATGTCTAGAAGAAGTGGGGAAGCTTCTGGACGACAAGAAGGTATTCCTACAAGAACCTGATTATCGGGATCCAAATCTTGGTTATATCAATCCTCATATATTGGATCTCAGTGCTGTCCATCCAGAACCACAGGGTGAGGCTGATTCGATGTCTTCATTCTTGCTGGAGATTGGACTCCAAAATGAGCTCGCGTGGCAGATAGCCACACCTCAGTCACTCGTGAAGGAAAGAATTGCAACAGCATTCAAGAATATGACGCGGGCTCAGAATTTGAAACGAATAGCTGCTGACATCAGAATTCGTACCATTCTTAAACCGTAGGCTAGGTCTCCCTATCCCAGCCAACCCCAACTGACCAGTTTACTAGGTATCAAGAGGAGGCTTTGGATTTCATAATGCAAAGAGAAAGCGGCCCTGTTCCAGAAGAGTATTGCCTTTGGAAATCAAAGCAAGTTCAAAATGGTATCTCGTAAGTTTAACAAACCACGTTTGAAGCGCTTCATAATTTGACTTCAGCAGATACAAGCACGCGATCACCGGCTGTGATAAACCGGAGAAGCCCGTGGAAACAGGAGGTGGTATTCTAGCCGATGAAATGGGGCTTGGGAAAACTCTCACAATGCTTTCAGCCATGATTCGTACCGCAGATAAAGCGAAAGAGTTTGCGAGTAGTTCATATCATGATACGAATTTAGGAACACAGCATTCACTGATCCCATCCAGGGCGACTCTGGTCGTTGTGCCTTCTCCATGTAGGTCTAAGATACGGTAAAGATTTGCAGCTGATCTGACAGAGCACAGTACTCCTCAACGAATGGATGCAAGAGATCAAATTGTAAGTTCCGCTAACCATCCACCAAATACTATTTTGGATTGACTTGGTGACAGACATTGTGACGGCTCTTCCAAAATCATCATCTATCATAGTCATGGCAGAGAGGGAAATTCTAAAGCACTTGCTGACTCTGATATTGTGTTGAGTACCTATCACACTATATCCCATGAATCAGGCGATAAGAATAGCCCTCTATGGCAGATCAAATGGTTCAGAGTTATTCTGGATGAAGGTAAGCCTCTCTCGTATTATCATCTAGGTTCAATCCAAATTCATTCTCTTTAGCACATATTATCCGCCGGATTTCAACAAGACTGTTCAAGGCCATGAACAAACTCCGAGCAAAGCTCTATTGGTGCTTAACTGGAACACCAGTACAGAATAGCTTGGAGGATCTTGCTGCACTACTCTCCTTCATTCGCGCTTCGCCACTCGACGATCTAGTCAAATTCCGGAAGCATATCATTATACCCTTAACCAAAGGCTCAGAAAATGGAGTAGAGAACCTACGGCAACTACTCGATTCTGTCTGCCTTCGCCGGACCAAGCAACTGCTCCATCTTCCCGAGGCCATTTTCGAACTTCAGCAATTGCGTTTCTCGGCAAAGGAAGAACAACAATACAACGACACAAGAGACAAGCTAGTGAAACTGATCCACAAAAATGGCCTAAAAGCCAAGAATGAAAAGGGATACCTTGGGGTCCTCCAGCTTCAACTGCAGCTACGTCGTCTATGTAATCATGGCACTTTCCAGAAACCTTCGCTAGGAGCTGATGAGTTTGATCCCGAACAAGCAATCGCGCTTCTAAAGAAACAGAAAATTGCGAAGTGTGAGGCCTGCAGTGTAGATATCACGGGTATTCAAGGCATCGAGGAAACTCGCAATGGAATTTTCACCGTCTGCGGGCATCTGCTTTGCATGAAGTGCGTCCCCAAGATGAAAGTGGCGTTAAAGCTGGCGGATGGAAGAGACGGCTGTTTCCAGTGCTCAATATGCCCTGAAATTGTGTTTGGGGGCTATCTTGTTGGTGAAGAAGTTGCAGCAAAGTCATCTAGTGGTGGAAGCAAAAGCCTCTCTGCTTGGCATTACTTTGACAAAGAAGGTTGCTCAACCAAGGTTTCTGCTGTCGTTGCTGATATTGAGCATCACCAAACGGAGGGAAAGAGGTAAGTAACCCTTGTTTCATGGGATTAAGCTTTGTTCTCAGCTAATTTGTGGTGCCCACAGTATAATATTCTCCTGCTGGACTAGATCACTAGACCTCATTGAGATTTTCTTCAAATCGCGGAAAATCCCCTTCGTCCGAATAGATGGCTCTCACTCTTTGGCGCAGCGGAAATGGATTCTCGAAAACTATCAGAAAGATCCAGCAGTCAAAATCTTACTCATGAGCACGGGAACTGGCGCCGTGGGGTAATTATCACTTCAGATATGTTTGAGGTATATCACTGACGCATCCTTTTGCAGATTGAATCTTACTGTCGCAAATTGTGTATACCTGCTCGAGCCACAATGGAATCCAATGGTCGAGAATCAAGCTATTGCTCGGGTCTTACGTCTCGGCCAGACAAGAAATGTAAGAGTAGTCCGCTATATTATGAAAGGCACAGTGGAAGAGGTAATACATCCTTCGCCCAGGTCAGTTACAAACAGGTTAACAACCACGATAGAAAGAAATGCGAAGTCAACAGATACGGAAGTTAGAATATGCCAAGGTAGGGTGGAAAGAGGAAGAACAAAAGTAGAGCAGAGAATGCAAGGGCTCAGCTCTGCCGACAGTATCTTTGTAAGTTGGGTATCGAGCATATCACAAATAGAAAACTTGTACTGTGGACAGCGGCAGGAACAGAACTTGACGCAAAACTACCCTCAAATTACACATTAACTTTGAAATTAGCATCTGAAGCAGCCGATAAAGTAGATTATGCTCAGGGGAGATCATCTTCGGTGCCCTTTAGCGAATTGGTTAGAGATCCCATATTATCTAAATATAATTATTACTAATGCTTATTAGTTTGGAACACAGCGGCCTTTCTAAACTATTATGATATCGTGATAGTGTCCATTCTCGCTCCTCCTGTCAAACTTTATAAGGACCCCTGCCGGAGCCGATTTTGGATTGGAGTCACACGTGACTAACAATTTAACCATATCACAATTCAACGTCATCGTGGATGGCTTAGATTTTACTGAGCACTTATTTAACTTAACTTCGATGGTATTAGAACTCATACTTAATACCTATGTTATAGTTATCACGGAGTCCAGCGATTAAACAATCTGACTTCGACGCCAGATATAAAATGGTTAAACTCAAGGAACAGATCAGGTTTTCTTGGCGCATCATCTTCGCTAGTGGACATTGGTGATCTAGTGAGATGATTTTGTTATGGTGAGTAAAAATATGAGATGAGGAGTGCCTCCTAGCGGTCGTGAAGTCGTGGTTCCAGATTCTAGCTATGATGGCGGATGTGACAATGTCGCAGTGTGCTGCATATTGGCGGGCGCCATGCGCCAATCTATAAATTGAACAGTTATCATTCGCCAACAGCAGCATATGAGTCAAAACATCTACTGGATTGGCTGCTAGGTTCTTGATTGCAGACCTCGCAATTGCAACGCAGCCTTGCAAACGGTAGCTCCACATATTCAGGGAATTAACACGTGTTACTGGAGCTTCGGACCTTGGGGTACTGAGACTGCACCAGCTTCTTTAAGTACCAAGATTGGACTCTTTTCAGGGCTAATTAACCTCTTCCTGTAGGTTGAGAGATCCCAAGAAGTCAATGCTCGAGAAATCCACACCAAAACCACTTCCGACCGTCCGAAAAGAAAGTAACCAAAGATGGGCGAAGGGTAAGTGACAACGGATGCAACGATGGCAGTGGGCGTTATCGTCCCACCTTTACCCTATACCCTCACTTCTCACCCATAAGCTACTTAATAAATTTCTCGTGTTTTCATTTTCGTTCGTTCTGAGGAGCAAGAGTTGAAGTGGTGGCCTCCTTTTGACTCGGCGCAAAGGTTCCTCTGCTGGGACAGGAGCTTGTGTGTGCATATTTACGCCTTATTCTCAATCGAGAGAACGCACAACGCAACTGTCTTGCTAAAAGTCGGTTTCGCTCTTGTCATCAAATATCGCCTGCTCAAATAACGAGCCCACAGAAAAAACAACCACACAACGGGATAATGTGCAGCAATGCCCACACGATTTCTATTAACATCGACCTTTTCAAGACAGAAGAAATTCAGATCAAGATAGTGGGTTTTCTTTCTCAAAGTAATCAGTGCGAAAAGAAGTTGGAGGATAAGGCGTTCTCTACACGTCTTCTGATAATGTCCCTGTGACAAATTTCAAAGACAAACTTGACGGAATTAGAAGGATACTTGGATGGGATATATGGTTATGATTGGCAACAATCTGTACCTCTCCGAAAAGTTGACATCAACATCATCGAGAAGTAAACGGCAGCGGTCTAAATATTGACAGCAGGCGTTCTTGTCCAATTATTTCCCCCTTCCCAAATTCTCTTTTCCTGGGATCCTTGTTTCCAAAGCCTTCTCGTGATTGGATACAGCTCTGAAAGTATTGCCAAGTTGCCGGAACAGCAGGTCATTTGGTTGTAGCCTATAGGTGCTTCAACTGTTTGTGGTTGCTGGGGAAGACTTCAATACATGTACGGCAAATTGTGGTACTCGCGTGCTTATATCTATACAGCAGTCACATCTCAAACCCAAAGCTCTTCTGCCAGTCTTATTCACCGTTGCATTTTACTGGTCAGGTATTTTTCCTATCGGCATCGAGCCCCAACCCTCAACCCCCCTGAAAACCATCCCCATCCCCTCTCCCGACCATCCAGAAACGTTATCCAAGAGATATTTAAACGAACCCTCAACTTGCACAAGGAGCCGCAGAACTCCCGAAATTCCTCCGACAACTCTTAGGGTTGCAACCGTCTTCATCGCGCAGTAGCTATTGGAAATTTTATCTTTAGAGGAAGCGCGACTGGGTTTAACAGGAATCCAGAATCTAAGACGGAGGCTCTGATAGCTACTAGCCAAACGTCATCCAGGAATCGTCCCAAACACGCGCGAAGAATAAAGTGATAACCGACGGAACGATGACAGCGGTCGTTATCGTCCCATACTCTGCCCCTGGGTTGTAAAAGGTGTCTGGTGTTCTTTAAGAGCATCCCCCCCCAAACACTAGCCGTCCCGCCTCCAACCTACTTGTCCTGATAGTCGAAGTTCCTCTTCGCTGCACATCTCAATAACCTCAACTACTCCTCGAATGACACAGTAGGTGGTGATTTTACCCCCTTCTCCATTCTTGAGCTCCTGAAACGTTCCTTTTGCACATGTAAATCACAGACTGAATTATCAATTTTAGAATACAGTATCAGGAAATGCAGCAGAGATCGTGAAGCAAGGCATGCCACAGGTCAATCTCAACTTCAAGATATATAAACACAGCACTGATCCAAGGGAGGTGGACTGACAGATATTCACACCGGATACTGAATTCATCGGCTAGTCAAAAGCATTCGATACTGATGGAGGTATTTCTAAATGAGGTGCTCAATATGGCATTTAGGCGACATGCACTAGAAGACGAGGGCGTGTGGGGGGTAGGTACGAAAAGACGCACCTTCTAAATCCGACGTAGGATGAGAGCGTGTGACAGCAAGAGGATACTCGACAACAACACCCCAACGTACCTATCTTCAAGTATAATTATCGATCATTGTTAAACACCTCCAGAGAACAAAAAGTCGATCAAACTCTCTGAACGTTTTTTCACCAATCTCGTAATCTGTAATAACAGAAACCTTCCAGGGCTTCATCTCGACGATGGATCATTACCGTGTCTTGTATATACACATCCTGATCCAAAAGCTCTCGAAGATATATTTACATCCGTGCTACCACGCTGTGGGTAAGATGGAGACCTATTCCACTAAGGAGAAAATACCTTGTATAAGTCCAAGGCTAAGAAATGCCATCGAGAGCCAAACGACCTCCTACCATCAGCAGCCCAGCCTCGACGTATAAACCACCCTCCCCAACTTCCCACTCAAACTCTTCCTCAGAGCGCACCGACGAACTCTTGGAATTCCATGAAGGAGAGATTGTCAACGGAGTACTTCAAGCCTTCTTCGAGAACGTTGATGAGGCTAGCTTAAGGATATGAGAAACAGAACTAGATCTTCAGTTCAGAACCAGAGATACTGTTTCTAAGTTTGACTTGGGAGCAAAGGAGAAGCAATGACAGCGAAAAGAGACTTGACAACAACACCAATGCACTAATCTTCAAGTCTCCTTCCCATTTCCCCATGAAGTATAGAGAAATAAAGCACGATAGATTCTCTAAATATCTTCTCACCAATCTCGTATTTTGAATAACGGTAGAAGCCTTCCCGGTCTCTGCCTTATACACTCGCGAGTGTGCAGTGTGTCAAATAATTTAATTAATTATAATTATTGGCCGGTAATCAAATCAAATTAAGTCAGAATAGTAGTAATCAAATTATAATTAATTATTTACTTAATTTAATTAAATATAATTAATTATTTGGTCACGTGGTATCACACGTGACTATAGAGATAGCACAAGCGTTATCGGGCAAAAATAAAGTTTATTCTAGCCTAATTTAGATATTGACTTACTATAATAGGCTTAATAGCTAGTATGCCGCCTTTATTTTCTTTACTTATCTTTGTAACTGTTGTATGGCAACTGCAGGCTGACCACGTGACTTGTCTTCACGTGACTATGGTTATTGTATTTAAGCTCTGGCCGCCCACACCACACCTCTCTTCCTTGGATATCCAATATATACTATATATACCCGCATTTATTGCAATAGTAAATAAGTGTTATAGTAGTGGTTTCGGCTCCCCTAGTCACGTGGTGCGGTCATGTGACATCCGGAGCAAATAATTCACATATATATTACTTTGCTCTCCTTCTCTCTTCTTAGGAAATTAACTTACCTTTGCTCTCTCTACGCTTTAATCGTATATTATTTAAGGAAAAAGAAGAGAACTTATTATTTATATGACTTTTATATAACTGTCACGTGATAATTAAAAATAATTAAATATATTTAATTATAATTAGTCTAATAATTAATTATTTTTTTGGAAGTCAATAATCAAATTATAATTAATTAGAAAATTAATTTAATTAAATATAATTAATTACCTTAATTATTTTTTTGACACACTGCGAGTGTGCGCATGACGATGTGGAAAACTTTCGAGTCTACTTGTATACCTCCGTGAGCAAGCCACTGGAATGCTGGAGATATTTTTCGTGCTTGCGAAGTTACCTTGCACAAACCCCAGGCCATGGATTGTCATAGAAAGCTTTGCTGGTCCCTCCCATCCGCCTTCATGAATTTGATATATATAAACTAGCTCTGCTTGTATTCAGAGCTTTGGTAGCTAATGCAAGCAGCACTGCTCCAGGGCAACAAGATAAGCAAGATCCTCCTCAACCCACCACAGGGAGATTTGACGAGCGTTGGCACTATATGGGCTGAATTGAGGGGTTTCAAAGTCTTGGGCACTTCGATAAGAAGCTGAGGGAGGCGGGAGAAGCGCAGCAATGAGAACCATTCGAGATTTGACAATACCAGCAACTAGGCCATGCAGATGGAGGTCCAATATAATAAGGATTGAAGAATACGTTCAAACCGCAAAACTGGGTCATCTCCACTTCGTCTTGGGCACAAACTTGGTCCATGGACATGCAGTTGGTATCTCTCTTCTCAAATGTAAGATTACAAAGACATTGCAGTGGACGTTGCAAACAACGATCCAGAACGCTTCAGCGCTGGTTTTATACCTCTCTCCAATCAAGGCTAGCTCTTCATGTTTTCAAATAGAACCTCTACCTTTTGATGTCAGAACTGGCAGCTGGAAAATGCAGAAGACATCAGAACAGCAAACGCTCGCCTCATTCACCTTCCCTCCTCTCCGGAAAACTCAACAAGGACATATCAACATGCACAAAAGTGCATCTATAAAAAGTGACAAAGCTTGGAAAGCGGCGAGTTCAAGAATTTCAAAGGCCTACTCGAACTGGTTCAGAGGACGTATGGAGGAATAATACTCCTTGAAATAGATACCCTGGGTTGAGAGACCAGAGCCCTGAGCGATCTGTGAATTATGTGTAGAAGTGTAGGGGGCAGGAAACCCTACTCGACCTTGATTGATTTCAGAGGGAAGCTGCATTGACAGCAATGCAAGCCTTGACAACAACAATCAACCCGACTCCACACCTCCCTCCCTTTCGACTTTCCAAACCTCGAAAATCATGCAACGAAGAAGAAGAAGGAATTAAATACAGATAGGTTTCCGAAACTCCAGCTTCTCAACTTCTCCATCATCTCCTGCCTCTATGTTGTCTCCTTCTCCTCTACAAACGACGCGGAGAGAAGAATCGGCAATCCCCACTTCAAGTTCGTATATATATATACCCCGCCTCCCCGGCAAGTACAGCTGCTTTTCGCGCTTGCGAACCTTCCTATCACTTGATCTAAATTGCATCACATTCAAGGAAGCCCAGGTATCATTCTTTAAATCTTTGCTTTTATTATTATCTCGTTCTCTCTGAATTCCGCGCATTTCATATATGTACTCATCCTCGCACTGAGCCATATCGCAATGATAATGACCCATGCCATCTTCATTTTCCCACTCAAACGTATCATCATACTCATACAACAAAAGCCCCTGCCACCCCAGCCCCCTTCTCTCATGAAGACGAGACAGCAGCAGTAGACCGTAATTATCGAAGCGAAGTGTGCCAGTGTGGCTACAAAATGTAAGGAGTGTCGTGAAATCATCATCATTCTTCCCCAATTTCCATACACAATGCAGTGCAAAACGCCAAATTTACGCCTCTCTCAATCAAAGCAAATTGATATCATCGCGCCGCGCAAGGTACGGAGATCAAGTATCAAGATGTAAATCAAAGGAAGTAAGCAGCCAACAACCCCGCACCAGCAAGCGCGCCCATGGGAGTCAATCCTGCCGCGCCGCCTGTGAACCCGCTGCTAGTACTACTTGGTCCACTCGGTGTCTTCGTGGGGCTTCCACCACCACCCGGGCTTGAGCTGCTGGTCGTAGTTCCGTTGGTAGGAGGTGGTGGCGGCGTACCAGTGCCGGTTGGGCAGTACGTAGTAGTGAAAGTCTTGGTCTCGGTTGTGGAGCCTGTGGTGATGGTTGTAGTTCCCGTCGATGTTGTGGTGGATGAGGTTGGGTATGTTGGGTAAGAGGAGGCGGAGGACGAGGTTGGGGAGGTTGGGGATGTTGGGTATGTTGGGTAAGAGGAGGTGGAGGATGCTGTTGACGACGAGGAGGAGGCGGTGTAGAAGGGTGTGCAGTCGGGGAGGGTGAAGTCTTTTGCGCAGCCGCCGGAGCTGCAGTAGACAACGCAGCTGGGAGGTCGTTAGAACGGGTCTTTACAAGGGATGGTGGGGGAGAGGGGAGGGACATACTTCTTGGCACAAGCCGCATCACCAGAAGAGTTCGATGTTTGCCAGCAAGTCGTCGGGAAGTTCCCAATCGGTGGCTCGCCGTCAAGGTTATCGTTGCAGTTGCCTGGTTCCGCAACGCCGTTGACGCAGCGGATGATAATGTTTGTGCCCAGCGACTCGCCGGCGCAGAAGGTACCGTTGGGCATGTTGGCCGGACAGACGATTTGGCTGCCGTTGCTGGGGGATGTCAGCTAAGCTCAGATCGAGGGGAGGAGAGGGACCGACGAGGTGATCTGGGCAGATGCCAGTGCAGCAGAAGCTGCGAAGAGGAGTGCTTGGACGAGCATGTTGATTGACTTTGGTATGGTCAAGAGCGCGGTTTTGGTTTGGTTGGCCGGTGAGCGAGTGTTCTGTTGTCTGAACGATGGTGTTGATGTTGTGGTAAACGACGGTGGAAAGCGAATGTACTTGTACTTTCGAAAGGTTGGTTTTGTGTGATGTTTGATGCAAGAGCGAAAGTGAATGGCAGGAACGAATGGGGGTGAAGGCAGGCAGGCAGGCAGGGAGGGACAGAGGACTTTTATGTCGACTGGACGAAGGCTGGCTGATGCTCAGGCAAGCGATGCGATTGGAATGGATGCGCGTGACAACGAGGGGCTGGCAGGGGCGATCAACGAGGAAAGTGCAAACGAGGCGAGGCGAGGCGAGACAAAAAGAATGCAAGGGGCAGCGACAATGTGGCTGGGCGGGGAAACCCGGATGGGTCGTGGAAACAAGCACGAAGAAGGGAAAAATAAATTGAAAAAAGTATACTGTACAACCGCGTGAATCATACGAGGTATCGCTTGCAGTCTCCTCTCTTCAACTTGCGAGCAAGGCTGGTAGAAGGTACTTTAGGTTTCTTTAAAGTTCGTCACTCTATTACCACTTCTCCCGACCCTCCGTACTTCTCAACCAAACTTGGAGGAAAGACGTGCCAGCCGCTCCGGGTACCTACTTTTGGCCCAGCCTCGGAGATCTTGTTCATGGTGACATGAGAATCAGACGAAACGCAACGCATGACCTTTGGTTCCGCATTCGCTGCTCCTTGTCCAGGAAGAACAGAAGAAGCAGCTAGTGAGTGGTGAGGTGAGGTGAGGTGAGGTGAGGTGAGGTGAGGTGAGGTGAGGTGAGGTGAGGTGGTGTGTGCGTTGTCCCGCATCGAGGGCGGAACTGCATTGCTGTGGCTGGTAAGGTTGGGGCTGGACCAATCACCCGCGAGATCGCCGCCACATCGCTGCGGGGTAAAGCGGCCGAGAAACAGTGGCGTGAGCTTCTCTTCTCTTCACTCTCCCCATCAGGAAATCTTGATGCTTCACTGATCCTCCAAATACATCATCTTTCAAGCAATCAGAATTTATTGTATATTGTAATTCACTTACCCCGCTTCACTCTGCATAGTCATCTCAGACATTTTCACAGAGAAAGATTCTGATCACCATCCGACGAAACTGCGGCCGAAAGAGAATCTGGATATCCTCGGCACCACAGACCACCTCGTATTCCCCAGCTCACCTGCCACATTATCACGATGTACGAGAGCACTATTGCCTTCACGCTCGACACCATTTGTCCCTGGTAAGCAACCCAGCAACCCAACATCCCGCATTCTGCTTTTGCTGCAGGCGCCGAAGCGGTGTGCCGTCGAATCATGCGCTGACGGCAATAATTAAGGACATATCTAGCGAAGAAAAGGCAAGTATTGATAAGCATAGTGCGTGGGAATAAATGCATGGATTGCTGACTTGGTACTGGAACGTTGCATAGACTTGATGAAGGTATGTCTCAGTTCTGTTTGTTGTGCGCACTTGATTGGGCGAGAGTTGGGAGTTGGGATGACCAGTGTCATGTGACATATCAGGCATCAATCACGTGACTTTACATCGTCTCGAGCTTAGGTTCTCAAGGGAGGCAAGATTCAGCTCTCCGCCGAACTGAACACAAACTCCAATGCATTATCACATGATATGCATCTCTTCCTGGCTTTCGACTGACATCTCCAGCTCTCCGCAGAGTCCGCGCCACAGACGCCTCCTCCAAAGTAAACTTTAAGATGGTCTACTACCCCTACCAGCTCTATCCGGAAGCCACCCAAGAAGGCGAGCCAAAATACGAGTGGTACAAGAAATCCAAGTGCGCCCCTCTCCGCCCAATATCCGATCCATCAAATCATTGCTCCTGCTCAAAAGCCCCGCTAATGCTCGACGCTCGCTAGATATGGCGACTCTGAAGAGAAAATGCAAATGTACACAACCCTCATGACAGCCTACGGCGCCTCGGCCGGCATCTCCTACAAATTCGGCGGTACCGTCGCCAACACGCTGCAAGCACACCGCGTGATCCAATTCTTTCAGGAAGAGGTGGGAGCGGAAGTGGCCGATAAGTTGATCAACTCTCTGTACCGCCAATACTTCGAAGAAGAAAAGCACCCTTCTTCCGAGGAGACGCTTCTGGCTGCTTGTGTTGGTACGCCCCCACTCCTTCTACCTTCCCCCTCTCCTTTCCCTTCTCGCACTGTTTGAAAATACTGGTTGGTCAAAGGAGGCAGAAATTTAACAAGGAAACAGAAGCAGGCATCCCCGAAGCAGAAGCTAAGAAAGTAATCTCGGACAAAGACGAGGGGCTCCGTGACACAAAAATGAAGATACAAGAGCAGGCCAGTAACGGGGTCGATTCCGTCCCGTTTGTGGTGTTTGAAGGCAAGAGAAGGGATATCACGATTCAGGGAGCGAATGAAGTAGAGGATTACGTCAAGGCTTTGGAGAAGATTGTTAAGGAGAGTTCATGAGCTGTCCTTGGGTGGTCGGAAGGGGGCTAGCGGGAGGAGAAAAAAATGGACGATTTTGACAAATTCAGCGGACAGCAGAAAATCAGTATTTACTAGACAGCAAATTAACTTCTTTTCTCTCTACGACTTCTTGCAGTCACACCAGATCTCGTAAGTCCTATATATACGTCTTTTGCACCTTTAATTGACTTGTGTTGTCTCAAAAAGAGGGCAGGAAGTTGAGGTTTTGGTGTTGGCGCAGGGGCCAATTTCGGCCGCTTATTTCTCCTACGAAGAGGCTGGACATTCTCATGTTGCAGTGATCTAAGCCATACTAGGGGGGGGGGGTGAAAGGGAGCCGATCACGGGACCTCGCTTCGGCTTTCGCATCGCAAGGGGTCAGGCAAAGGCAAAGTAAACAAAGACCTTCGAACACATGCAGACATCCAGCATCTAGAGTAGTAAAGAATGTCCTTCACTTGTCTGGGGCATTCTGTCCATGTTCCTGTCATTTCTTAGCCTTTTCGAAAAGTGACTGCCCTCTATAAAATATCACCCCGTTCCTCACCCCGTATCATATCATCATCGGCTTTGCTTCGGATTCCCCAGCAACACCTCATACAACGAAGAATTCAGAATCTGACATCACAATCATCGCGCTACTTTACAATGTCCCAGAATACTAACGGACAATGGAACCAAGGCGGATCCTCCACGCCAACCCAGAATACCAACGGAGAATGGCATCAAACCTCAAACGAATCGACTCCCTCCCTCTCCTCTTCAAGCAGGACAGCTTCCGAGCCCTCTGGACGAGACAGCCAACCCGAGTCTGCTCCCCTACCCTTTCCAATTCCTCAAGATGCCACAAATGAAGGTTCCACCAGTTCGCGTTCCACCACACCCTCCACGAACAATGGAAATGGCAACGCAAGAGACGACAGAACTAGAGCTGGCAGTCAAGCATCGAGCGACAGTCACGCGTGGCCAAATCAAATAAATGGTAGCGGCAACGGAAACAGCATGGGGCCATCCACTGCGACGACCTCAAGAGAAAGTTCTCCGGCTCCGACCACTATCAGCGAGGACAGCCAGCCACTGCCCTTCCGGCGAAGCACGGCTCCGAGTCCGTCGAGCCAGGGAACGACTAGGGAAGGTACACCTGCAGCTGATGGTCAAGGTCAGGCGCAAGACCTTGAAAGGGTTGCGGAAGAGGAAAATGGGGATGGTGGAGAGGAGGAGGGCGACCCTGCTGAAGATCTTCTAGATGACATGATTGAGGTTGCTGAGCGAGGTGAGGGTGGAGATGGCGGTGATGGAAATAGACAATGAAAGGGGTTATTAGGGATTGTAGACCTTCCTTGGATAGTTGCTTTGCGCGCTGGGTGTTCTTGGTTTCTGGCATAACGGACATGGGATAGGGACAAGACTCTATTATGGTGTTTGGATATTTCTGCGAGCATAGACTTCGTTATACCAAATGGACCTGGTACATTCAGGATAATGAATTCGCCTGGTTTCGCCTGACGTCTCTGTGCTGCTTCCGTTCTCTGAAACTTGATATAATCCCCGCTTCTCCCTTCAATCTTAGCCAAACATGAGCTAGCCTCACCATGATAGCACAAACAAGCCCCAATTGCCGCCGCCAATCCCCCTTCCCAGTTGGGCCTAACCAACCACCATGAGACGGAAACCGCACTAGGTTCGCCCACTCTACGTTCACCAACCTCCCAAACGCACCTTCTCTCACGGCCAAAGAAATCCTGCGTCCTTCACTGCCCCAGCAGATCTAAACCCCAACTTTGCAAGCAACAACCCTTACAGCTCTGCATCCAGTCCTTCTCCCCCCTACCTCCACAAATCCAAACCCGAGCCTAACAACATCTCGGCTCCTAAGCAATCCACAACCACACCCACGCCTCCTCAATACCCTCGGTTTGGGGGCCAAACAGATATTCCACTACACCGGGACATAAAGCGGATATGGTTGGAATGTCGACAAAGGAGACTCCTTCTGCTGCACCTAAATTAGGCCCACAAGTTCAGGCTCAAGATCTGTTGGAAGACTTTATTTTCATCTCAGGCAAGAATTAGAGTGATGGCAGTGCACGGCAAGGGAATGCAGGAGACGAGAGAGGGAGGAGAGAGAATTTGTTCAGGAGGAGCTAGAAGAAGTTCAAGAAGGCTGCGAAAGAACTTGTTATGGGAAGGTTGGGGGGGAGAGCATAAAAAAAAGATGAAAGGGCTGGATATTGTGGGGAAGAGTGGGAGTCCAGAAGAAGTTAGAAAAGGCATGGGGAAGAAGTCTTTAATTTCTGGCATATTGGAGAACTTTCCCTGCGGGAGTTTAGGCAGACTAGGACAATGGAGTGCTGTCTTTCAGTCTCCAGATTTAACCAAGATACCTGATATATCTCCACCTTCCCATCTTCAATCCACCTTGAACAGCACATTGAATTCCATGATAGGACAACCAACAAAATCTCATCATGGATCCAAACTCAAACCAAAGCCGCCGCCAAACATAGAGCCCCTACTCCTCAGCCTCTCCATACCAATCCAGCTCCTCCAATACACAGAACACACCAACTTCAACCTCTCCAAACCTCCTTGCCAGTCCACCAACACGTATCGATCCGCATCTCGCGAATGGAGCAAGTCCTTCTACCCAACCTCCCTCCAACTCCCAAGCCATGCAGCCCTCCTCAGCCACAGATTCCGATACAAGACCAGAAGCGCAGCCAGCTATCGAACAACCAAGCTACCAACATGACGAAGAACATCGTGGAGAGCAGCAACCTGAAAACACACAAGGAGGAAAGAAGAAGAACTGGCTGCAACGAGCTTGGACGAAGCTCACGAAGGGGATCAAGAATGGCTGGGAGAAATTCAATGAGAACCCCATGCATGCATATATCGCTCTCGACGTAAGATTCGAGAGTTGGAACGAGAAGAGGAGGGAGAGAAGAAGGGAGAGAAAGGAGAGAAGGAGAGCGATGCTGGGAGAGTGATTGGCTTTTGGACTGGTGTCAGTGGTGTGTCTTTGGGAAGGTGGATTTAAGAGGTATGGGTGTTGAAGACTTGTATGGATGTTCTTAGAATGTTGCACACCTCGAGGGAACGGGATTGAGATGGCTCTAGCACCATAGCGAAGGAGTGGGTAGCATACCCCTTGACCCGACAGAAAGACCCAAACCGCTAGGTAGAATAAAGCTAAGAGCTGCTGTCACTACTCTGCGTCCAACGTAGCTTCGGATAATTTCAATCTGGAAGGATTCAATTGGAGATTAAGCCGTTTCAAATGTTCAATGTTCTCTGGCTTCAATCAGAATCAAATGTCCCATGCTCGATGAGGACATTGAAATTTAGTGCCTTTGGTTGTTCTGTTCCCCCACCGGAATGTTTGCTCTTCCCAATCCTGCGTCTCACGTGAGCAGCGCCCCTTTGCTCAGGCTCGGCTCAGGTCTACACTGGTCTGCTCACCCCTATTACGCGACACGACGCAGCCAAGACTAACCTCACCACAAATCATCAACTTTTAACGAGGGGTCCGAAAAGGCCTCTCTTCCAGCCAAAGGTCCAAACAAATACGGACACCGTAATTCAGGAGGATGGTCCGTCTCCCTGCTCTAAAATGGTCGTCTCCTCTCGCAATTTTCCTCTCCATCTCTTCCCCCATCTTCTCTTCCTCACCTATCTCCACATCCATCTTTCAACTTATCTCTCCGATCCTCTCCTAGCCAGTAAGAACTTTCTTCTCGTGCCTACTCCAGATATTTACTCCGTATCACGGGACTGCCTTGGCATATGGATAAGGTACACCACGCGACTGATTAGTCACGTGCTATCCTCCTACACCTGTATTTAGTTCTAGCTATCTGGCTACAGTAGTTTCTTCCTTCTTTATACCACAAGGCAGTTATCCAGTCTACCAACGCTATGGCCTGTAACACCCTTCCCCTCCCTTCGAGCTATTCACCCACCCACCCACCCAATCAATTCAATAAGAGCGACACAAACACTATACAACGCACAAAAGAGACTCGTCCATTCCTCCCTAGTACGCCATTCAAATTTGCCCACAAGGGTCTTCTCCCGGAACTTCAAGTTTTCCCTTTCAGGTCCAATTATAGAGACGTGATTACGGAAAAGGTTTATAGCTCCAGATCTTCGCCCACCTATCTCCACTGCCCGTCGCGAAGCAAGTTCCGCTTGGGCTCGCCGCAATGCTATTAACGCTGCCCTTATGGCCTTGTAACTTGAGTTGAACATTGCCCGTTTGTAAATCCCAGAACTGAACTCCACGGTCCGCGGAGCCGGAGAGAACCCAATTTCCATCGGGCGTAAAAGTGGTGGAGAAAACGAAGTCCTGATTTATGTTAGTGAAAGCAAGAAGTTAGGGGGTGATTTACCTTGTGGCCCTCGAAGGTCTTAATACAGCGACCACCCTTAGGAGCGTTGTTGGGGTGTACACCTCTTGGGAGACTTGGGGTAGCGAGCTCCCACATCTTGATCGTCTTATCTAAACTACCAGACACGAGATCCTTGCTGTTCGGTGCGAAAGCAACGGAGTATACATCGTCCTTGTGTCCATCAGGGCCCTCAAGACGCTCAAGGAGGTATCCGGTGAAAGTATCCCAGACTCGAACACACTTGTCCCGACACCCGGCTGCGACGAGCTTGGCATCTGGGGAAATGACAACAGAAGTAATACCAGTTTCAATACTAAGAGTAAGAACATTTTGGCCAGCCTCAATATCCCAGAGACGAACGGTTTTATCATTACTCCCTGAAGCAATAGTACGACCATCGCGTGCGAAGTCTAAGGAGTAAATATCATCCTCGTGACCTTCAAAGGTGTTTCTAAGGCTTCTAGAAGCGATGTCCCAAACCTGTATTCGTTAGGAATAGCACGTATAAATCGATATTATTACTTACTCTAATCAATTGGTCATCTCCACCAGTAGCAAGATATCTTCCATCAGGACTAAAGCAAACACTTCTGATATAAAAATCAAATATGTAATTAACCGATTTATCTTCGAGGATATTAATCTTCTGTCCAGTGACAACATCGAAGATCTGTGCGACCCGTTTACAGCCAGTAGCAATATATTTTCCATCATAGCTGAATGTAACACAGCCGACGACACCTGGGTGTTCAAGAGCGTGAACAAGGTCAACATCAAGCACACGGGGAACTTCTGGGTTGAAGATAGCGAACCAATCCGACCCGACATGCTTTAGGTGTCCTGGCAGACGTTCAAGATCCAAATCAGCCAACGCATTACCGACGGCTTCAAAATCCTCCTTCTCTAAGGCGGCCTTCTTCAGTTGCATTGCCTTTTTCCTTCGAAGAATCGGTGCAGGTTCGTCTGTAGCTTTGGCATGGTACAGTCTAGTGTGACTTTTCAGGGAAGCTTTCGTGTTGAAACCACGAACGGAAAGATCACAGGACATGACTCCGCACCTGTAGACCCTAATATGATAAGATGCTTCATGTTGATCTCGTTCTTCGATCGACACAAAGCCATTGACTCCTCCTTTGCACTGATACCGACACGGGTATCCTAATGTCCCGTAAATATCTTTGAAGCTTCGAAGGAGGCTAGAATCATGCTGGTGTAAAAGATCAGAGCTATTAAGAAGGTATCCTGAAATGCTCTTATAACGGTTTGAGAGCTGAGTTAAGCTTGTTGGATCCGCTTCGAGCTCAAGGCGCTCCAATTCTTGAGAATGTTAGCAGGTTCAAACGAAATTCGCGGTTTTTGTTCCACTTGCCTTCCGGTGAATTTGTGTTGGACCTCCCTTGTTCCAATCGCTTCCGGAATACTAAGACTTTCTCCAAAAACCGCTGGATATTTGGAAACTGGTACCAGGATGATAAGTGTTCATGGGATCCCGAGTAAACCTCAATACTATTGGCCATTGGGGTGTCATAAAGGTGTGGCAGACTCTGTGATTGGCTAAGACAGTCCACTTGCTGAACAAGTGCTTTTGTCTCTGCGGGCGAGTCACACAGTTTCGAAAGACTGAATCGAAGAAGGTGATCAATCCAAAATTCGTGAGCGTACCTGTGTAATCCATGGAATCCTTTGATGATGCGATTTTCGGCCTCAAAATCCGTCATTGAAGGCGATATGAGGCAAATACTAGACGATAAATACGAAACACATGAGAAGGCCATGTCAAAGTGACCGTGACATTCTTGTAGATAAGGACCACTACTAGGGTGTAGAATATATCTTTCATCCACAAGTTAGTATTGCAAATAATTGCCTCCACAGAACGGGTGATACATACTCCTTTACCGAAAAATGAACAAAGTCAATGTCACCCGACGGCCCTTGCTCAATCAACGGTTTGCATTGGTCTAAAATGTGAATGGATAACTTCGTAGTATCGTCGAGGACGGTATTTCCGGGGTAGAAGGCTAATCCATCTTGCAATTCAAAGGGTTTGAGCTTGCGAAATGAACATGCCATCCACTTCAGAATTCTGACAGATGTCCGGCGGCTGAAATCGTTTGATTTGTTGATACGCTGTAGAATTCTTCCGTATCTGCATTCCATAGTCAGCACAGCCATACAAAGAAGTCATTTTTAAATAGCTCACGCTTCATCCAGGCCTTCTGGGAGGCTCTGTGCAGCCTCAAAAAGATCCTTTACAGAGTACCGACCTTCAAGCTCTGCAAGAACCAGTCTCACATAAAGGAACATACCTAGATACCACCGCTGATTCATCAAGATAGGTTGTAAGCAGACTCCCGTACTTACCAGTCGCTTTATTTACAACAATTTGCTCGACCTCGTCGATGACGGCCGGTTCAAACCTTTCTCGGAGTGTCATTAGTTCTTCATGAACATATAGTCGAATATCGATGTCGATACTGGCTCGTTGATCATGTTCGCTTAGGAAAATGGTTGGCTTCTTTCCGAGGAGCCTCTGTATGCAAGCATTTTCCCTGCTTGAGACCAAGAGCTTGCATCTATCCCCAGAGAGTTTCATGAGAAGCAAGAGTTCATTGAGAATTGACTTCTGGTCTGCTATTCCACACTCATCCAGACCGTCGATAATAATCCGCGTTGTTGGCATAGTTTCGATGAGTTCTGGCAGAACCTTTCGTACCTGGGCAAGAGTCGCTGTAGGTCGTGAGGATGCGTATTTATCAGCGACGTGAGATGCTAATTCGATATTGGCCTGTAGGAGCTGAAGAATTAGACTCTTCAAGATCTGAGCGCAGATGTCTTTGCTATTAGTGGTGCTATCACAGAAGTAGTAGATCAATGAATAATTCTGGTCCACTTTGAGGGCTTCGATCAAGTGTACACACAAGACGCTTTTTCCTGTTTATTGAAAGTTTAGCATATCTTCTTGTGATGAATAGCGGTGAAGTGTTGTCTTACCAGCCCCAGGAATTCCATTGAGCCAAATGATCGGATGCCTCCTGCTATCACTAGTCCATGACATTATTTGCGCATTTTGGAGAAGCCATTCACCGGTTCCAGATTGCCGTCTTCGAAGCAATTTTTCTCTAATTTCCTGTTGTTCGTCATTGGTGATGGCAAGCCAAGTTATAGAATCTTGGAGTTGATAGTTTTGCCTCTCTTTCTCACGTCGAGCAATATCTTCTTCCGCACGGACTCGCGCACTTCGTGCCTCTGCTATATTAATGGACGAAGCCTCTCTATCTAGCAGATCTCTGTGACGGGAAAGGCTTTCTAGGATTCCTGAGAATCGCGAGTCGAGATCTTTCCATAACGAGTCAAACACAACATGCCACACTAATTTCAAGTTAGCAGTACTACTAGCTCTCCTCAACCATGCGCATGATTCAAACCTCGTCGTCTGAAAAGTTGGTAGGCATGAGTGTGGAATTCGAGTATATCAGAGTAGACCATGACTAAGACTCTTTGAAAATCGGGATGGTCCTGAAAGGTCTTCTGGAGGCGATCAAAACGCGGCATCGATTCAGCGATTTGAGCGTATGCGTTAAGTAGTTTTTCGAAGATGTTTGCATGAGCACTGGCTAGCTGTCAATATTTAGTCGGTGCGCCCTCGATCAAAGCTAATAAGAAGTGCCAACCTGCAACAGTAATTTGATGGGAGCCTGAGTTTCAAGAATTGTTATTAGGTATCTTGGGTGATTATTCCGAGAGCTCATTCTGAGACATACCCATATCCATGGTAAATACGGTGTCCCATTACAAAGAGTTTCTATCGACTTGGAGTACCTTTCAAGGGTTTTCAAGAAAGGCTCAATCCGTCGCATGTTATTCATAGATTTACTTTCGCGCTGGCGTTGTTGTATAGCAAGTGCTGCCTTCCAAACATCTTCGAGCGTAGTGGATTGGAAAGTGACAGCGTCAATTGGATTGACAGATTGTTTCAACTTCATGAAAGCCATGTCGATAGATGCTAATGTGTCTGAGGCCGCCATTGCGATGGGCTCCCTGCGTTCCCCAATCTCCGGAACGCTTTCGTTGGTGGTTGGTATTGTCTCGCAGAGATATTTGGATCAATCCTACCAAGTTATGGCCCTCAGATTGTTAATACCTGGGATGGATAGCTCTGATATTTGGAAATTTAAGTGAAGATTGTCGGGTTGGATTGATGAATTCCTGAGGCTGGTTCTATGTGGAAACACAAGCGTGGTGCTGGTGATGTGACTTGTGAGGCTTATACTGCACAGCCGGGTGGGCACAACATTTGTGGTGGCTGAGACCGATGCATGGCCACTAAGTCAGCTTGTATTCGCTCGCTTGGTTGCACGTGGTTTGCATCGAGATCTGCAGCCAGGCACCGCACGAGGTTGTTTCTGAAATAATTCAACCTCTGAAAGCTCTCCTGCCCGTTCTTCTTCTCGAGGTTCTATGCGGACAGCAACACATTTCTATCTTATTTTCCTTCTCGAAATACTCTATGCATCACCAGGATGAATTCTATCAAAGGTGAAGTCGACTCCATGGCAGATACTCAACAGCCTAGGCCTCTCAAACGACAACGGATCGTTGGAGATGAATCGTCATTCAAAGTCGTTGAGAATGTCCCATTGCTTGGCTCGGCACACCAAGTGTTAGGAGATCCATTCAAAATAGATGAACCACCTTGCCCAAGCCTCAGGAACGTTGTATCCAACGACGATGAAGCGATGGATCCCCCTCCACCAGCTCAGGAGACGGAGCGACATCCAGGACCAACTATGACCGGATTGTCCGTCTTAAAGTTACGACGAATTCAACCGGGAGAAGAAATCTGTTTTGGAATGGTTGGCAATTCTAACATGTTCGGTCAAAAAGGTTCTGACTTCAATATAGGTATCAAATATCCCTGTCCGATTAGGGGAAACTCAGTATCCACAAAATCCGATAATTCACGTTCGGCTAGACCAATCAAATCAACTGCTTCGACTGGATACATGCCAGAGGTTTGGCACAATACAGCCCAAATATTCCAAGATCTTCCATGCCCTGAAAGACATGAATCTCGCATCAACCCAATCGTACTGTACTGTAGAGATTCAAGACAAGAAAACGCAGGGAAAGGCTGACGATTATGGAAAGAAACACCCAGCTCGGATCTTTCTCTGTGTCATATTCTATGGAGTCATCGAAGATTTTGAAGATGTTGGCGAGTTCTTTCAGGAGTGCCAGATGTACCTTCAAGACCCGTTTCATTGCGATCGTGACGTGAAATATATGAATCCACATATGCTTTGCAGCCAAGAAGAAGAGCCAATCACCACAGCATCTATCACTCCCGAAAGCATCACCTGTCTCGTTGGGAATGTCACCTCTCAGATTGATCTATTTGCAGTTTTGAGGAACGAAGATAACATCGAAGAAGCCGAGACCCCAATGGCGATAGAAACGCCTCTCTTTCGGTAGGATCTTCCCTTAAATTTTGTAGGCTCTTGTTAATTTTACAAAGACATCAAAAACAAGGACTGAAATTTATGTCGCAAAGAGAATTGGGGTGGGCATTTGATTCCCCAGGAAGCGACATCTGGGCCAGGGAGACGCGCGGTAATGGCCGGTTACTGTATGCTATACACCTCGCTCAAGTGCATCGAATTACTGATTTTATCATAGATATGTTAATAATATCACCGGAGAAACGCAATTGGCACCTCCTCCAGATTTCAGAGGAGGACTTTTGGCTGATGAAATGGGACTTGGGAAAACCCTCACCATGATAGCACTAATTGCTCTCAACCAAAAAGAGCCCGAGATAAAGAGCAAAAATGTTCCAGCAATTTCACGACGATCTATTAAAACAACTCTAATTATTGCTCCACTTGTTTGTAAGTTTTCTACCTTCTGAATGCTTGAGGCAAATCTGACTTGTACAGTGTTAGAGATGTGGCACAGCCAGTTACAAAAGTTAGTCGATTGCTTTCATTATAGCTATTGCTGATTTTAGTAGACATCTGCGGCCTGGTGCAATGTCATGGTATACTTACCATGGCCCGGTCAAACCCTCGATTCATGTGCTTTCAGAATACGACATTGTCCTCACAACGTACGAAACAATTGCAGCACAACTCAAAAAATTCCATAAGTCAAATTCAGTAGAAGAGACAATCTATTCTGTTACATGGCATCGAGTGATTCTAGACGAAGGTAGGTGAGCGAGAGTCAAGCACTTCTTTGACGCTGCTAACCGCCAGCAGCACATATAATTCGGAACAGAGGTAGTTCAAAAGCAAAATCAGTCTGCGCTCTCTACGCTTCTAATCGATGGGCAATTACTGGAACACCCATTCAAAACAAGCTCACCGATCTGGCCAGTATAATTGAATTCCTCAGAGTGTTCCCTTTTTCGGATCCGGAAACCTTCAATATCGAGATTTCCCAACCCTGGCAAGAATCAGACCAACAAGGCCTTCTGCGACTTAAGAAATTGGTCAACTCGGTCGCTTTGTGTAGGCCAAGGGCCACTATCAACCTTCCAAGCCGTACCGATGAGATTCATCGTTTGACCTTCACCGCTGCTGAGCAAGACTTGTATAATTCCGCTCGGACTTTCACTGCTAGCATGCTTGATAATGCGATGTCCGAAGAGTTCACTCAAAAAGGATTATATTTAAACGCACTGACATGGTTAAACAAGCTAAGGCTCATCTGCAACCATGGTGTGGTTGCTGGAAAACAAGAGAGCTTTGATGACATGAATACTGACGGTGATGTCCCCAATACTTGGGACAATATTACCGCTCAGAAAGCGTTCAACAGTATGATCGATGCTGGTGCAGCTATGTGTGTCGCTTGTACTGCTAACCTTGCTGACTCAACCTCGGATGGCTCACCAGAAGGTGATGTCGAATGCTTGGACAATGGGATTCAGCAGCCTATCCATGCTCATCTATCCCAATGTCTGTTTGTTCTCTGTTGCTCTTGCGCTTCGAAGGCATCAGCACTTTCCGGGAAATCACCGTGCGCACACCATCCGAAATGCCCAACCTTTGGAGTCTCCTTGGTTGAATCTTCCCACCCTCAAATCTTAAATCCTGGAATCACTATGAGTCCAGGTTCTACGCCAACAAAACTGAAAGCTCTTCTTCAAAACCTGAAGGAATTTAAAACGGAGAAAAGGTATGTTAACTCCCCTCAGGTGGCGTTTTCAATAGCTTTTCTAATAATGGCTTGCTCCAGTGCCATCTTTTCTTACTGGACCTTTACGCTGGATCTCATTGAAAATGTGCTAAATAGGGCCTCGATTCGCTTTACAAGGATTGATGGACAATTGTCCCCTGATAAAAGAGCAGATGCCATTCGAAGATTTCAAACAACAGATGACACCCGCATCATCCTGGTTTCTATTACTTGTGGTGGAGCTGGGTGAGTCTACAGCTTGAAATGTCAAGTATTTTTGACATTAACACTCACTAGGTTGGATCTCACAGCCGCATCCCGTGCCTACTTGATGGAGCCACAATGGAATCCACAAATGGAAGAGCAGGCATTATGTCGCGTGTATCGCCTCGGCCAGAAGAGGAATGTAACGACAATACGATATAGAATGCTGAATTCATTCGAAGAGGTTCTGTTTTCGTTGATGCTTGTCCTAGGGCTGTTGCTGACTTGTTTTATAGAACGTTGTCAAGATCCAGGACCGGAAGAAAGACTTAGCAAATTTAACGTTTTCAAATGCAAGACTATCAGAGACAGACGTTGGGGCCGGTCGACTTCAGTATCTACGTGCGGCGTTGAGATGAATAAGGATCTTTTTATATAGTACCGATACAGTATATATGTAGCAACTGCAGTCGAATTACCACAGTGAGACGCTTCCAATGTACAAGGGTATACTTCTGTCAGGGGTAGACCACTGTAGCAGATGCATCGCCTCCTGATAATCAACGGCACCCACTTCGCCATCAAGACCTGGACTCTGATCCCAATGTCGTCCTCTCACAGCCTTCAGAGCCTGTCCCTTCAACCCAAGCAATTATTCTGCATCCCTGGACCCTCAGGAGAACAAGCAACTTATCACCACCTAGCAATGATTCAATTCAAGAGGCTCCGGTGCCCTAAGCAGAAACAAAAATGGGTGAGACGGGGATCGAGATGTCTAGTACTCTCAGACCTGGTGATCAACATTATGGCGAAAATGGAAGGGGAGGGAGTGGTAGAGAGGGAAGCAGGGCTGTTGATAGATGTCCTTGATTGATGGAGAATACGTCCCTTCCACAGAGAAAAATGAAGAAGAAAAGGCCGCCTTGAGATTTTCCGCGCAATAATGCAATGTGAATATATATAGGCATCCTGCCCTACCTTTTCGGGTTTGATTACATATGTTTAATTGGGATTAAGCCATACTGGAGACCACGAAGCCAAACGCAAACAGTCAGCGCAGCTCCCTCAAACAGGCTTCAAACCTACAGCAACTGGATAAGCATCTACACAAGAGGGCTCAGGGGGCGGACAATGCGGCCGCAGGGGTCACGAGCAGAGCAACAAACTAGAGAGGATTCCAAAAGGACCGAGGGGAAGGATCGCCTCGCGGTATAACTTCGGCGTAAAAGATAGGGGTTCTGCTCTTTAGGGAGGCCACCTCCTGATGATCAACAAACCCATTCTGACGATGGTGACAGCATCACGAGCGCAAACAACTACCCATCCGCGAGCTCTCTTCCTCGTGCACAATATACACGCCTTTTGCAGCCCATCTCCAGCCTAGACAAGCCTCTTCACGAAATTGTGCAAAAGCCATACCACGTCGAAGAAAGGTTTCTTGGAGCAGAGGAGCTAGGACAGGAGGAAGCAAACACGAATTGAGTGGAGAGTGAAGACGAGAGGGTCACGATCCGAGATGGTGGAACCGGAGCTGTGAAGGATGGAGAGATGAGAGTGGAAATGGGCGGCGCTCTGCGTCTTTACGAATAGGCTCAGGACACCGAGGAAGATATTGGGGTCGGAAGAGAGGCGTAGAGGGTAGAAATGGCAAAATTACAAAGGCCTTCACGAGGTACTGTGACACAATAAGCACTCTAGGAGTAATAGGAGACAGGAGAAGACGACGGTGGGATCTGTGACGGAAAGCTGCTTCTGGGAATGATACAGTCCCGGGTGGTGAGCAGGACACGGAAGAGGCTGAGAGTGAATCTGGGTAACATAAAAATCAATCCAGGAACAAGGTCATACCCGAGACCGGACTCGAAGCAGAGGAATCAGAAGTGCAAGTAGGGAATGCCGATTCGAGGACGGACAATTAGCTAACTTCTGGGAAGCACAATGTGCCTTCACACCTGGCAGAATGAATAATGAATTCAACATGTAGAACATATTGAAGATGGGAGGGGGGTGGGGGCGGAAATGGCGAGGAAGGATACTAAAGAACTTCGATAGCGGAAAAAGCGAAAGGGAAAGGGGGGAGTATTTGGGAGGCTAGTTGCTGAGAGATCAGAAGGTAAATGTGACAAGCCGTGGCAAGAGGATGAATAATGATGTTTTGAAAGCCTAGGAAGTGGTAAACTCATGTGAAGGAGCAACACCTTTCAGGAAATGGAGGTTGAAAGCTTGTCAAATGTACAAAACAGGACGTGGACAATGGAGAGCATATGAAGCACGTCGTCCTAAGTGCTTGAATTGTACAATATGCATTTAGGACAATGAGGAATTGCAGCTGTGTCTATTCAAAGGATACGAGCGCCAAGCAACCTTCAACCTTATGCGACTTATCGCAGTAAACAACTTTGGGAAAGAAGGACCCCTCCTTTCAATCTCCATCGTTAAACACACACAATAAACTCAAAGCCTATCACCACGAGATGAAAATTGAGAACAAATAAATGACCGCCTACTTGAGCATATATTCCCCAGCTTCCTTCCTTGCCCATTCCCAACCGAACACCGCAATCATGAGCTCTCTAGGCTCATCGCCTCAAGGTGTATCATCTCTGGGTACCTCAGCTCGAAGTAAAGGAAAACGCGTCTCCTTCTCTTCAACTACGTCGATCCGCGAAATCCCAGACGAATCAGCCCCTGGCTCTTCAACTCAAGATGAAGCATCTCAAGTTACATCAACCCAAGGTCCAGCAACACAAGTCATCTCCGCGCAATCTCCCCCACCAAAGAGCTACAGGCCAACTCCTCCCTCGTCACTTACAGAAGAACACCTTCAAAGCGCCCAAGAAGACGACTCTTCCTCACTCGTCAACGAGAATCGTCGGAACCGGTCAGCAGCCATAGATGTGACCGGAACTCGCGACCCTGCAGTCAATCTCCCAAATGTTGAGGCACCGTCAAATGCAACAGATCCGTCCGATGCAGCAGAGCCGCCAAACGCAGCGGAATCGCCGAATGCAGCAAGTCAGTCAAAAGCACCGATAGCTCCCCCTCCAGTTCCTCCGAATTCTCAGACCTCAACAACACCACCTTCTCGACCCACCTCTCGTCCAAAACCTCTCATTTCCACCCCAACCAGTTCCGCAATTGCATGTCCCCAATGCCACACCACCCTCCGCATAACTCTCAGGATCTCAACCCAACAGTTTCACTCCAATCCTCACAATCATCCTTCAATCGCAGGAGGAAGTGAAACTGTGCCATCGAATTCAAACGAGGAGACACAGACAGAGAGACGAACATACAGAATACTACCGAAACCCGCGTCTTTCGCCGGTTGTCAACAATGCTGGGAGATGCTGCATAATCCGGCGGTTCCTGCTGAGCCAGCTGCTGTTAAGGAGCTCGGATGTTGTAGTGTTTGGGGAGCGAAGTTGGAGCGGAAGTTGGGTCGGGCTTTTGGTGTCGTCTTGGGGGAATGTATCAAGGAATGCAGATTCGGGTCGAGGATATGTTCATGCTGTGATTGGGTTGAGAAGATTGGATGGGTTAAGGAGTGGCGTAGGAAGAAGAATATCGGGAAAGGAAAGAGAGCTGCCAGGAGTGATAGCGATAGGGGTGATGAGGATGGGGGTAGGAGTACTCAAGCAACTTTTGTTGGGAATAGGGAGGGAGACGGAAACGGAGACGGAGAGGGCGGAGATGGGAATGAGCAGAGAGGAAGTGGGAGTGGAAATGGGGGCGGTGAGGAGAGGGACGAAACTGGCGGCGAGGGCGCGAGTGCTGTGGGACAGAGCGAAACAAGGGAGAGTGTGACGAATCGACAGATTGGTGAACAAAATGATGAGGTACACCAGGAGACGGAGTGTGATCGCTACCAGGCAGAGCAGGCAAAGAAGAGTTGGTGGGAACATTTAGCTGGTTCTGTTAGAGGCTCCAAGAGGTAATATCGAGATTGCAGAGGTGTTAATTGATAAACTGGCCGGAATTTTTTGCGATGTTGAGATGCAGGGGCTCTGGATAGGACTCGATAGATTGGAAGGAGCGATGCTTGACTTTGATAGTTTCACACAGAGAGGAAATTTGATTCCGTTTGGACAAGCGAGACTTCCATCCGAATCAATGTGCACCTGTCCAACCCTCAGCTCCTCTTTGCTTTCATCTAGTAAACACTTCACCTATCAATAAGCATCTTGCTGTCAAGCGACACCAGGAAAATTGTATGTCAAAGTGGTTCTTTGATCAGCGAGAAGCACCCATTCGCGAAAATGACATGACACCACCGATTAGCGTTACACTGCGTGGGGTCAAAAGGAAGAAGGCTCCGCAAGCTTCTTCCAGAAGTGTCAAGGAGGAATAGAAGTGTCAAGGAGGAATAGAAGAGTCTAGAAATGATAAATCTTTTGAATTGAAAGAGGACCTCAAGGTCCTGTGAAATCCTAGAGGAGCATGGTTACCCATGGAATTGCTGCGGTTCTTTGCTCTTCTTGATGGGTTGAGACATATTGTGATGCTGCTGCCCGCTAGGACGGCATGAGAAGGAAAGTACAAGAAAAAACCCCTTTATAAGAGAATTCTTCAATGAATCATGCCAGAGAAGCTAGGAATCTTGCAAAGGGATGTGCAAATATAGCGCTGAAAGAAAGCTGAAATATAAAATGAGGAGGTTGACCCAACCTGAATCTCCCAAGTCGTCGCCTCCTCGCAACCAGCGAGCACAACAACATGGCAAGCGACGACGAGACCGACGGAAGTGATCTATCTCGGCGCTCATCGACAGCAAGCATATCAGACAGCTATGAATACATTGATTCAGAGGGTACTAGCGGTCATATCTCAGATGATGACCGTTCCGCAAGACGACGAAATGCCGTTTCCCCTTCCGAGCTAGGAATTTACGGCGTCTCTGAGCCCACCCACAATGCTCCGCCTTCGGCCCGCGAAAGACGGTTCAATGCAATGGATTCCCCGCCACCTCGGCCGCAATTTACAACAAGCACAGCAGGCAGCGTGGATGATGACGGGTGGGAGAACATCCCAGGGTCTCAATTCTTGGATGCTTCAAGAAGCAGCAACTGGGATTCTCTTTCAGACGCTCGGACTTTGAATGAGGAGGCAGGAGGTGATGATGGAGATGATGGATACATGACTGATGACGAAACATACTTTGATATAGAGGGTAAGTCGTCGAACCCCGAACACATATCCCCTTCGTGTAGAGTGTTATGGAAACACTTACTTCAGTCGCTTGACTCTCTTCGATGATTCCGACATCTTGAGAAAAGGAGCTCCGTTGACACGAAATCCGTAGATCCAGATAATACGCCTCGCGTCTTGGCTCAGCAATCGCAAAGCAGCAGCTCGCCAACGCCGAATCCAACCCAAGGTCACCCTCGATCCTTTTCACGGTTCTCCGAAAATCGAGTCTCACACCCAACCAGCCGCGATGCCACGATTCCTCCAAGGACCACTTCAACAAAGCCGAGCAGGGACTTTCAAAGAGGTGGTGCTTATGGAAGTACTCTGACACAATTTGAACGTCCAAATAGCCCCAGTCCATCTTCTCCCAAGTTTGAGAATTATGCACATTATGCACATCTACAGCAATTATCTTTGACAGACCGATCAAGTGCCTCAAGGCATCCGGAAGAAGAGTCTGGTGGCAATGGCAATCCAAGTCTTACCCCCGGATCCCGTCGTTCTCGTAAGCTCGCTCGCGCGGCGAGCCGAAGAGCTGCCGATGAGCACTCTGCCAGTCCTCCACGAGAGTATCTCCCACTTGATCCTATCCTCGGTATCTATTCGCCGGCTACTAAAGAATTCGAAGCAACCAGATGGAGCGGATTGCGCACTTCGGGTCAAAGTTCTCGCATGGGAGAAGTCAATCTTGCGAAATCTTCATTCCGGCGGAAGGTCACTGGTAGACAGCAACCAAGTAGGACCTCTGACATTGAAGACCGGAATTCTCCCATGGATAGTCCGACTTCCAGACGAAATAAAGATCGCGCTGGGTCTTTTCAGGATGAATCTTCCTTGAACGCTTCAAGATCGGCAAGACCGCGAGCTTCTGCTGAGGACCTATTGTATTTCCCAGGAGTTTCACCCCGCCGACGAGAGCCTGGTGTAGTCTTTGTGGGAAGAGACCCCTCTGGAGGCTGGAACATCGTCCAACCCCGGGACACAGCCCCAAACGGCGCCTCCAATGATGAACGGGATCCACATAGGCGAGAGGGACAACCCCATACTTCCAACAATACTTCTCAGCCTCCCCAAAGACACTATATCGATTTCGGATCCGGTACCCCATCGCAACACTCGGATCGGAACAGTATTCCAAGAGACTCGGCTCAATCAATTCGACCAGCTCATCCAATAAACGGAAGTTCCAGGTCATCAGAGCTCACTCAGACTTTGCGTTCAGCAGGCAACTCCCAGCATCCCAGCTTCCCAAGGCACGGCGGATCTCAAACCATGGCACACGGCACAGCCCCCGTGAACGTTGGACACCTGGGGTTGACCAGCGGTACCGGAAATACGACAACTCTCAGCCCAGCCCCGGATCCAGACTCTAGAAGGGGTCCTCACGATGGGACTCTGCCAAGGCCTGTTCGAATCCGTGACACACAAGATCCCCACCCTACTGATCACCGCCTTCAGCCGACAGGAGCTTCAGAACCAGCGTGGGAGGGAGATGAAATCGAGTGGGAAGATGGCTGGAATAGCGGAAATCGAGAGAAAAAGAGAGAGAAGAATGAGAAGTGGGCCCGAGATCCGAAGGTCTGATGACGATAAAGTTTTGTTGGAAATTACGAAATAGAAGGCTTTGCTTGGCGTTTGTTCTTGAGTCTTGGAAGTGAAATTGCAAAACAAACGGGGATTTGGCGTTGGGATTGCGGTTTGGTTGCGGACAGACGTCGTGTTTTGAATTGGTGTTGGTGGTGATGTTGGACAACAAGGCACAAGTTCTCACAAATCCTATTTTATCCTTGATCACGTGATTCTATCTTCTCTCGGCTTTTCCTTTTTTCAAAACAAACAAAAGGCCATCCATCCTCATCAGGGACCATCCAACATCCTTTATCCTAATTCCCATTCATCGCTTTCGTCCAATCCACAAACAAATGCATTCTGAGCCTCAAATCCCCTCCCTCCATCAACCTTCGGCCGTCTCCGACAAGCCCTTCTCGCCAAAAATCCTCTGCCTTAAAGTCAGCCCACCTCTCATAAAACCGTACCACCGCAACCAGCCCCCCTGCAAGTTTCCCTAAACATTACCGCGCGCCACGCCTTATTCTCCTTTGTCACCTGTTTCATTTGCTCCTCCTTTCGCTTGATTATTTCATCCTTTCGTCGTTGGCTGACAAGCCGATTCTCGCCTCAAAATCAGGAGAGGATGAAGCTGGCACGTGACTATGTGGTACGATCTCCCATCAACATCTGCTCATTTGCACCAAGAAAGGGAAGGGAATCAGGCGCAGCGCGTCATCCATATCTCATCCAAATTTCTCTTTGGCAGGTAGGTACCGACCGCTCAGTCATCCAATAAGTCATATAAAATCCATTGTCTCCTGTTTCTCTCCTTTCTCCTCCATCCACGCAGTACACAACATCAACTCAACTCAACCGTCCATACATTTCCAAACTCCTCTCCACTATAACCACTCAACTCCTCATCCAACAGAAATCTCCATTCCACCCTTCTGTACAACCAAAAAAAGAACTCTCCACACAAAAAATGGCACCCATCTTACCAATCATGCGCATGGTGACCCAACGCCGCGCCCTCTCCATCTTCTCGCGCGCCCGCGCACTGGTACGAACAATGGAGCCACACCCATTCGAGCGGTTGCCACTTGCACAAAAGACAGCCAAGGCGGACTGGGGCAAGCAAATCAAGCACGTGGGAGACGCTGCCATGTTGTAAGTCTTTTTGTGTCCTCGCAGCGCTCGATATGAATGGATGTTGACTTTTTGAGTAGTTATTTCCCAGCCTTTGGAATCTTTCTCGGCTGGCCGTTGCTCGCAGAGAAGTTCGTCGATGGACACATTGGCGACTACTGACTCACGCCGGTCGACGAATTTGATTCTTGTACAGTACATACCATGGCGCATGACTTTTGGAGCCGAGAGTTTGGGATGCATCTTTGGCGTTTGGGGGGATCGGATCCCGGAATCCATTTCGGGGAAAGCAGGAAAGGAGAAAGTGCTGCACTTGTTTGCGCACCGAAATATTGGCACATAGACAGCGGCCTGATGGAAAACAGAACAGAATAGAGATGAAAAAACATACCCATATACCCGTACCTGCTTTCTCACCACCCACCAGCTGCACACCATATGTAATGATCTGCATGAGTCCATCTCACTCACAATATATCCCCCTCTTTCATATCTCCACCACCTCTGAGCCAAACAATCAACAAGTCGAATCCCTTGTCCTGTTCCGATGTGATATAGGATCGAATAGAATTCAGGGATACAGGTTCGTAATCCCAATCTGAAAGCAGAAAATGACCCTCCCTTCCTCTCTAACACAACAGCTAGAACGGCGGAAAAGTGCACCCACCTCTCCTTTCCCCTACCTCACTCAACGCAAAAGAAGGGGGATGCGTGAGAAATAGTCTCTCTCATTCTCACTACTCATCCACACCTATATGCCTGCCCTCTCACTCATTCCAGATCATCTAATATACAAAGAATTTAACCCCCCTCTCTCCCATCCCATCACTCATCAAAAGGCGGAACATTAGGATTGCTCCCTCGCCTTTCATTCCCCTTCCTTCCTCACCCACTCTGGCCTCCCCATATGTAAAGGCATTCCCCAAAATGCCTCAATCAACAGAATAAAGATTGTAAATTTGCCCCTCAAATTCCCCAAGTCCATAAAAGGACGGAACCCCAAACTCCATGCATGCATATGCTGTATTTATTCGCTCTTGCAAAAAAACAAAACAATAAACGACGTAAGAAACTCGCTTGCTCGCTCGCAAGAAATGCTGTGCTCTTTCGGCTTCGCCCAAATGCCACCTTAATCTCCCATCGATCAAATCGCTCAAAGGCGTTCCCCTTCCTCTAAAGGTTGCCCCCCAATAATTTTTGTCGTAAAAGAATTCGGATTATGATTAAATTAGGTTAGTTGTATTTTCGTTATTGTCGATGAAGGCTGTCTTCAGTTCGAGGCAAAAGATTGAGTTGGTGGCGGAGGAGCACCGAGAAAGCGGGCTGAGATGATTAATGAGAGATTGGGGGAAGGCTTCGTCATCGACCCTCCCTCATCAGCCTCATCTTCTCGCCCCCTGAACCGGCCTTCTTTCCCCCCATCGCCTCCCTCACAGCCCCAAACGCCCCAGATATAATACCCGACCTCCTGACCCGCGCAACATGGATCGCTTTCTCCATCCCATCCACCCCCATTTCTCCCCGTCCAGTTAAAGACTCTCCTCTTCCCCTTCCTCTACCTTTTGCCGCGAGGACTGAATTGGGGAGCGCTGGCATAGGAGGAGGAGAATCGCCGGTTGGTCGCCGAGACATGTTGGGCTGGGATTGCGTTTTTTGGAGGCGAGAGCGAGAATTGGAGTCGTCTACGAGAGGGAGACTCCAATTCGAATCGGAAGAGGTGGAGATTAGAGGGCCGAGCCAGTTTAGGGGTTCGTCTTCTGTCTTCTTTTCCCTTTTCTCTGCTCTGAGTGGTGCGGCCGACATTCTCTTCTCTGCTTTGGGAGGTGGGGGTGCTGTCTCCATTCTCCTAGGTGGCGAGGGTCTTGGAGATCTGGCTGGAGTGGTTGGGACTGTGGCTTTATTTGACCATGGAAGAGGCGGAGCTGGTTTACTGACACTCGTTCCCCAAGGTCGAATCGTGCTAACGCTGGCGTTTGGAGGGATTGTGTCAACTAATGCCGTTTCTCGCGATGGGGTGACGACTGGAATCTGGCTTTGAAATGCCATGCTCAAAATCCTCAGGTCCTCAGCATCAGACGTGTCTTTATCCAGCTCATTAATCCCAAGCTGTTCGAGAGCAACGCCTTCATCTTTGATATCCCCAATCCCTTGGTTGTAGAAGCGAGCTACGACTTCAGGAGAGAGGTCGGAATCAGTGATGGCGTACGCTTCCATCATCCTGCTGCGCAGCTTCTTGGGAAATTGGTCGCCTTTCGCGTTCATGAAGTGGACGAGAAATTTCCGGATCTCGCGGAACTCTTGCGCTTTCCGGAGGCGTCGGGTGTCGATTTGGTGTTCTGTGGGTGGCATGAGGCGGTTTGGATCTAGGCGTCTGGGATGTGGTAAGGGTAGGCTGTCTGTTGAGAAGCATCGGGAGAGACGCGTTGTTGGTAATGAGGTTGTGGATGCGTTAGGATTGCCGGTTCGAGAGGCGCGGATGGAGTTGAATGAGTTCTGGGGCTCAGGTTCGGGTGAGTGGATTTCGTCTTCTTCTGGTGTGGTGACTATTATGGTGACTGGAGCGAGAGGGGAATTTTGAAAAACGGTTGATGTGCTTTCGTCTCGTCGTTTTAATGAACGTGGATCTTGGGAATAGCCATCGGATACATATTGGACAACGGCTGGGTTGTATTCTTCTCCGATTGAATTTTTCTCTTCGTTCTCCTTGGGGCGCATGATGGATCGTCGCCTCTTGGCGAGTGGGTTGGTCACACAGCGGATTGTGGGGTTTTCCTCCAGCTCATGACTTGTGACCATGCGAGGTATCATGGGAGGTTCTCGTGATGGAGCTGAATCATTCCATAAGACCTCGACCGCCGCTGTATTTTCGAGGTCCGCCAAACTTTTGGTTCTGGCATTTTCGGCCCATATTGGTGTAGGTATGGGCACCTCGATCTCCTTGATATACACATCATTTCTCTTCTTCCCTCTTCTGGGCCCATCATGACCGCCTTTGCCATCAATTGCTCTGAAGATCATTAGCATTTCCCCACAAGCACACGATTTCCCACTTACAGTGCCTGCACGGCAACCTGGACCCAGGCAAATCGCTTCATAAATCCCCCCTGTCGACTTTCTGGCAGCAACTCTCCAAAGTCGAGGGGGAGATATTGCTCTTTGCTTTGGCCAATATCATTCCCTTTCAGCGGTATCGTACGTGCTGGGGAGCTCCAAAGTAGCAACGGCCGTCATGTGCTGGGGATGGTCAAAATTCATGGGAAGGTCTAGCATTTGGGTAAGTGGGTAACCCCTCGACTTGTCTCAAAGTCCAATAAAGCCAGGTATAATTTCTTTTCGAGATAGGACTCGGAGACAATTTTGCTGTTAGTGAGACTTTCAGATCTTATCCGCCTTGGCCAACACCGTTCTGGAGGTGGCTCGACTGATGATGATATGTAGAAACGAAATTGGTTCAATGGGAAGGGGTGGCCCAAAGGGCTGAGCGTGGCGGACGTGCTGGCGACGGTTCAATGGCGGGACTCGAGAGCGGCGTGAAGATTTATCGATTTGTTTTCCTGGATCGCCAAGTGGCTTGACGATGTCTCAGGAACGTGGACTAAGGAAGGCGTGACCCAGTGCCCATTCCACCACCAAGGAAAGTCTAGCCTCGTAAGTTCCGGCCAATTGGCACTTGCTAATGTCGAGAATTGTACTCAAAGAGGAGATTCTGTGGGTGTTGAGAAGATTGAGAAGATGACAGCGAGATGGTGGTGTTCCTCAAAATCGCTCACGCAATCAGGCACTGCTTCGGCTTGGGTTTGGGGCCGGCTCGGCGACAGGGTTTCTTATCGCTTTCAATACTTTGCTCTTGGGCCGATTACCCGTCTGGGGCAGAGGCTGGTGATGGTGGCAGTCGGGGCGCAGCCGGCGATGCTGGGCGCTGCTGATTCGGTGCTGCTCCACCTGCCAATATTTAATCGCAAAAGTCCCTGCATGATGCATAACCTTCCCAATAACCCTGGTGAACGCGATCAGTCCGGCCCGAGATGGCCCAGGAGGCCTCCAAAAGGATGCAAGATCTCTGGATGTCCTGGAGAGTCTCTCTGTCCGTGTAGCTGCTGAGCAAAGCTCGGATTATTAATAGCTGATGATGTTGGAGATGGTAAGACAAATTTTCAGGCCTCCTTAAAACGGGTCTAGGGTCTGGGAGCAATCTCACCAGCCGAGAGCAGTCGATTGAAGACCCTAGCGTTCAGCCTCCTCGCGGCCGCTGCACTATCAAATTCCAAGTCCTCCAAGCCTCGTTCAGACATTGTGGAGTCTTTGGGTCCGCCACTTGACAAATTCCCTGAGAGCAGCATTTCTACGGGACTTGCCAGTCTCCTGGCTTCAACGATTGACGCCTTTGGAGAAGCTTGAAGAGGTTACTCCCGCGCCTCCGCCAGAGACAACCTAGCTTTCAGGCACCGAAGAAGCCTATCTTTGAGACATCAGTTGCTGACGACACACCGTATTTGGCGTTCCTGGAGTCAACCGCAGGTTTGATCAAGCAGCATTTATCTCGTTGCTCCGGCGGTGAGCCACGTCTGGGAAGAGCTGGATCGAGGCTGGAGAAACTTCCCCACTCGCGAATGTGCTGTTCTGAGTCCTGACCCTGCCTCCGGAGCCCGGGCTCCTGACCTTGTTAAAAGCAACTTCGCAATACCATCCCAACCTCCAAGAAGCGGAGACCCCGCTCAAAAGGCTTGGTCGTCGGGGAACACGGTCGGTAATACAACATGTGAGCATGCCTTCTGCAGCCCCGTTGCGGCACGGAGCTGCCATTTGTTGCCACAATGCAGCAGCATCCCAGAACGTGTTCGTACAGAGAGATGAGATGAGATGAGATGAGTGAAATGGTCGGGGGACATTCGTTCGGCCAAGGCCTTCCCGCTGTCAAGGCGCATCGCGGGATGGATCAACGAGTCCCGAAAGGGGTTCGGGAAGAGACTGCCCCCCTTTTGTACCTTTGTACCGCCGAGGTAAAAGAAGCCGAGCAGAATGTTAGAAACTGAAGTAATTTGAGCAAACACCTTCGTCTCGTTCCATCTCGTTTCTCGCATAGCAAAAACCAGTCTCTCCCTCTCTGTCCCTCGATTCAGGTTTTGCAACATGTGATCGTCGCCAGGATGCCGCTGTCACTGACTTGGTGAAGAAGTCGCCACGATGATTCGCGGTCGCGGTCTCGACAAAAGCAGTTCTCAGACCAGCAAAACGAACACATCACCACTTCCAGACCTGCAGACTTCCAGACTTCCACGCCTCACCTCACCTCACCTCACCAAAGCTCTCAGTGACCCGACTCCAAGACATACTACGTACTCCCCACCGGACCACACTCCGCCAATCCCGTCCTGGGCCAGGCCCGGACTCCTCCTGAGACGACGGGGGACGGACCCTGAAATGGCTTCAAAGTTAAGGTTAAAATCGGGGGCCGTGAGCCGCCCAATCACTGCCTCTGTTCCACGGCGCCACTGACGAGGAACCGCTGATCACTGCGACAGCCAGTGACGGTGACGGCCATTCTAAAACAGGAGTAGGGAGCAGACACACGACGTGTATGGGCACCAGGGCACCATGGCACACTACCAGCCAAGCGCTCCTTATATGGCTGCTGCCGCGCATGCAGTCTGTTTGCCCATGCTATTCTGACCTCAACACGATAACCTTCTTGGGAATTGCACTGCGGGACAGGAAAGCATACGAGAGAGAGCCTCACGCTTCGAGTCGATACCAACATTGGGAAAGCAGCCTAGCAACCTTGCAGGAATCACTCGATCTGCTGCCAGGCCGATAAGAACACTGCGCGACCGCAACCATGGCCATCTGCTCAGGCCCGCCCTCTGCCTCTGCTCGGGAAGCAGTTCCGCAAGAAAACATCGCCGTGAACACGAAAGCGAATGATGCAAACGATGCAAACGATGCAAACGAGACGATCCCCTCCAAACACTCCGACGAGAACCTCGATGCCATCGACAGCACAGTCGAGTTCGAAGGCGACGTGGACACAAACAATGACCTGCCCACCCAGGCAACACTCAAGAAGATCGAGAATCTGCCGATCTTGGATAAAGATGGCAAATCCATCCCCTTCAAGAATCTATACACCGGACCTGGGGTCACGCGACGAGTTCTAATAATCTTCATACGGCATTTCTTCTGCGGTGTATGTTTTCCCTCTCTCTGCGATCGCCTTCCCTCCCACCATTTCGGACGAAAATAAGTGAATCGTGCTGATAAGATTTCCACAGAACTGTCAAGAATACATCCGCACCCTCACCTCCTCCATAACCCCCGACTCCCTCCTGGCCCTCCCAACACCAACCTTCATCGCGATCGTCGGGCACGGTTCCCCCGGTCTAATCCCCATGTACACCAGCCAAACCGCGTGCCCCTTCCCCGTCTACGCGGACCCCACGAAGAAGCTCTACAACGCCCTCGGCATGCTGCGAACCCTGAATCTCGGCTCAAGACCAGAATATCAACAAAGAGCGCTAGGGAGCTTGATTCTGAATGGGTTTGTGCAAAGCTTGAAGCAGCTCCCGTTCGGCAAGACGTTCCAGGGGGGCGATTATCAGCAAGTGGGAGGCGAGTTTATGTTTGAGCCTGCGAGCGGGGATCTGTATACCCCCATCGGCTCACCCGAAGAAGAGAATAGACAGATAGGAGGGGTTGGGAAGAAGGGTGTTGAAGGGATGTTAGAAGGCGGGTATAGTGAGGAGAAGAGGGTTACGTGGTGTCATCGCATGCGCAATACGAGGGATCATGCGGAGATGGAGGAGTTGAGGGAGGTGCTGGGGTTGGATGCGGTGGTGGATAAGAAGAAGGAGAGGAGGAGGAGTAAGAAGCCTGTGGAGAGGAAAGGGACCGGATTGAGTCTCGGATCGAGAACAAGTACGGGGTTTAGTAAGAAAATTGCGGAGTTGGAGGATGGAGGGAGTAGTGGGAGGGGCAGCAGTGAGAAGGGGATGGACTCAACCAACATGGTGCATTAATTGGAGACAAATGTATTGGTGCGAGTTGGGAAGGCGTGTGTGAGCACAGTTTGCATGTAGGCGTTGGATTTCTGCACGGAAAATGGTTGACAGTTGGTGCTCAGCATTGAAAGTTGAATCTCTGCAAGTTTTGGGTTTCGCTATCTCTAGCAATTTGGGCATGAAGTATAAATACCCAGAAGCAGGCGCAGATTGAAATGGATACAGATTGTCCCCAAGTCCTTTTTACATTTCTTCGTGTCATTGGTGCACTGTCTGTTCTTGGGAGGCAAGTGCCTTGATCCTCGCTCCTTTGGGACAAATCAAGCTTGCCTTGAATGAGTAATCCCATCTCCCATTTTGGTATCTCCCGCGGCTTCAATATCCGATGGGAAGCAACTGTCAAGGTCCCTCGCAAAATTGTCACTGCCATCAGTCACACTCAACTTGCCCCTCGCCTTTCCCTCAACCTCAATCACCTTCAACTGCTTTCCCCTTCCCCTTCCCCTTAACATCCATCTCCTCCCTCATCCCCCGCACCACAGCCTCCACATACAACAAAACATTCGCAACCTCCATCCGCGCCATCCCTCCCCCATCAAGCACCATCTCAATAATCAGATCCAGAAACCTGAACTTCCAAACCCGCGTCTTCTCCACATCGACGTCCCCATCTTCCCTGTGATCGAGCGACAGCTTCGGATGCGCAAGATGATCTCTCAACGCCCTCAGATGCTGAGAGGTGTCTGGAGTACCCCGTGAAGAGCGGTCGATCAGCATGTTCACTCTTTCCATGCCGGTGTTGAATTTGTATTGTGCTTGCCAAGTGGCGAACCCTCCCACATCCACTTGCTGCTCAGACTTGAATGCGAGCTTGGGTTTCTGTCTTGCAGCTGCTGCCGTATCGTCCTCTTGTTCTTGATTGCCAGCTTGCTTTTGGAGTTGCAGCCGAGATCTGAGTGTTGGGGATAACGGTTGTGCTTGAGGCTGATCAATCGAGCGTGGGCTATCTGGTGTCACGTCTTGGATGTATTTAGGTTCGGTTTTGGTAGTTGGAGGCGGGGAGGGCGGGTGTGACATCTCCACCAGCGTGTCGTGGGACATGGTGAGTCTACGGGGTAGAATAGGTACTATTTGAAATTTCGGTGATGATTTGAGGGAATGGTTTGTGGGGAGGGGGACGAGAGATGTAGCAGGACGGTTCAAGAGGGAGGGACGGGAGGAGAAGGCGCTTGAAAGACATCTTTGATTCCAGATGGAGACCTGCTTGTTCTTCGCCTTAGAAGAAGGATGCAGGATTCCGGGAGGAAGACAAAGGTTTAAGTTTGATGTTTTAGATCAGGAGACGAACATCCCCAGGAGCTTGGCAAGGAGCTTCAACAGTGATATACAGGCTTGAGAAGAATGAAAAATGAAAGAATGCAGGCAAACACACGGCTGAAAGGAACATTCAGGCATCGTGGAGATTCTTCATTGAAAGCCGATCTGCAGGATGTCACAATTCCTTTACATATCATTCTCGGTTTCATTGTTCCCCTGCCTCTCAGGAGAGTGGGGAGAACCCAGAAAGCAGAGGGAGAGGCAATTCTAAATCAAGGAGAAGCGGAAGGTTAAAGAGATCGGTTGGAGTCAGAACCAGAATTTCAGCACAAGAAACAGTAGCCCAATATAAAACACTCAATACCCATTCCACTTCCTCCACTGCACCTTCTGCCCCCCAAAGAACCCACTCTTCCTCTCCCAATGCCACAATTTCTCGGGATGTTTATTTCTCCAATGCTGCAGAAACCTCTCATGGCTGCCAAAATCCGCTCCGGCCTTCGCGCATCCCACCATCGGACATCTTTTGTGCACCATCTGCTGCAGATGCTCCTTCCAACCGCCGGGATAGAGACAGATCCGGTGCTCGTAGCACTTTTCGGGCTGTTGTTTTTCGTGGGAGGGGGCAGATGAGGACGGTTGGAGGCAACAGGGACAGGCTCCGAAGGCAGGGAAGGAACTAGAGAAGAGAGAGTTGGGGCTGCTGGGACTGCTGGGACTGCTGGACATGGTGTTGACTTGGAGGGCGTGACGGACCGGTTGATGTGCGGGGGAATGTAACCTCGTGTAACAGCCGCGAAAGCCCGTATATCTGCACTCGATACCGCAGCCTCGTTTGATTTGCCTGTGAAGTATCTGCGGACTTGCAGATGCCTTTCATACGCTCCAAAGAAGGTTGAGGGTGACAATCCAAACGTATTATGAAACTTGCACCGGTGAAAGAGATACAGAAATGGGGAAGCAATCCCGAAGATTGAAAGTTGGGTTCGTTGGGCACTCATCCTTTGTGCTGCATCTCGTCTTATCAAGCAATGAGGCAGCCTCGACGAACCTCCCAAACATCGTGGCTTCCAATCGGAGCAATAGTCTAGCCAGGATTCGCAGAAGAGGCTGTTATGATTTGATGAAATGCCTGCAGCCGTAGAACCAATTATGAACATTCCTTTGAGTCACGGAACACGATTGTAGGGTTCGAACGAAGATCTCTTCGGACTTTGGACGTACTGCTTCAAGCACGGGAGTGATTTGCGCAAATATCTCTGGTTACTTGCACTTGCGACCGAAATTAAGCAACATTTGAAGGTTAAAAGATGTGCCTGACTTGAGAGGGGTTCCAGAGAACCGAGCATACTGGGCTCGTGCTGTTCTTTGCCTGGCATTATTGAAAGAGGTTCAACACTGTGGCAGACCCATGGATAAGAGTCATTCGAGCAACAACAGTAAAAATGACTCGAAGGGGAAAGAAGAAAGAAAGAAAGGTTAGGGAAGGGAGCAGAGGATTTGTAGCGATCAGCCCCTATTTTTAAGCGAGGAAGCTAACGTTTCAGGGCTAAACCTTGCGTCGTCGTCTCACCTCACCTCCAGCGTACTAAACCAATATTGGACGTCCTGTACCCTTGGCGGTATATAATCCAGTCCACAAATTCGTCCCAAGCCATATCAAATCCTCGACGAAGGCGGCATTGCAGTCAACTTTTCTCGCACAGACCTCGCACCTCGCACCTCGCACGCAACAGTTCGGGTTCAGCCAGTGTGTCAAATGATTAGGTTTGATTTGATTAGACCCCCCTACTCAAATCAAATCAAGTCAAAATCAAGCTAATCAAATCATACTTAATTATAATCAAAGATAATCAAAGATAATTAATTAGATTTATCACGTGATTATATATATGACTCCAGAGCTTCGGAAGCCGAGATAAGGCTAAAATAAGGTCTGGGCTAGCCGTATTCGGTATTACTAAAGGCGCTCTTTACTGAACCAGGCCTAGCGCTAATTAGTAAGCGAAGCCAAAGGCGCTAGAACCTCCTTGATTTCCAGTGATTCCTTGCCACTAATAAAGGAGCTATAAATAAACCCTTATAGTAATTAAAGAAGAAGAAATAAGAAAATAAGAAAATAAGAAGGGAAAAGAGAAAGAGATTTCTAAAGAAGAAAACTATTAAGATAAAGTAATATTATAGTAGTAGTAAAGAGCTTGAATTGAGCTATTTGCCAGGCTAAGGAAGTACTGGCTACATACTAAGTCACGTGCAATAGCACTATGTAACTGGTATCACGTAACAAAAACTAGTTTATTATTTTAAATTTAGACTAATTTTATACTCTTATATATATATTATAGATTTTATTTATATCTTATTAATATAGCTACTAGTTATTTAATAATTTTTAAAAATGCCTAAGAAAGTATACTTTTATATTATCACGTGATGATTATAGTTAATTATAATTAATTATAATAAAAATCAAGCTAATCAAATCATACTTAATTATAATCAATTCTAATTAATTCTAATTAATTAGCCTTGATTATTTTTTGACACACTGGGTTCAGCCTCGGATCCTATTTTCTAAGTCCTGATGGATCGCGGCCGATCTTGGACCTCAATTTCTCCCAAAATAGCGCACTTCTAACCTTTCTTGTATATTGATATTGGAAGTATGGTGCAGACATTCAGCAGTCATGCTCTGAATATGCTGTGGTGTCGAATTCAACTATTGCCAGTACTAACATTGTGGTTCATTGCTTTCAGCGACTTGGTTGATATTGAGGTACACTAAGGGAGAAATGTTAAGGAGATCCTCGAGTGAGATCGCGGGTATAGCCGAATTGAGATTTCATCGAGGAAGATTGTCGCAGGTCAGCTTAGGCCGACGTACTTCGAGGATACAGAGTGGTAGAGAATTACTTGTTCGCTGAATCAGAGTGTCCGTGGAAACCCCAGCTCCTTTCGAAGCAGCAGACGGTGTCCTAATAGCTGATCTTTTTCTTCGAGGTCCTGAGTTGCTGGAGACCTTTCCTCAGTTGTACGAGAAAGACGGTTCCGGACAGCTCGAAGGATTCTTCATTCCGATGACCCAACCAAGGTGACGCGAAACCTTCGCCCAGCCATCCTTCCTGCCTGGTTTAATGAAGAGTGTTTCTCCCGGAGAGGGGAGGAGAAGGAAGAAACTGGAGGAAATAACAATGGATTTGTTTGCCCTAGAAGACGGCGCAACAGCTATGCACTAAATGGCCAAAGCGCAATTCAACATCGTAGGCCACACGCAAATTACAAGGACGATGACGCCGGCCAGATCAAGGAGTTTTTTGACATTATCCGTGAGTGTGTGAACCATCGTTTTTCGCGGGGAAATGTGCACATCACTTCCCCTCCATCCCCGACCACCCACGAATCGACCCAAAATATCTTTCTCATCCGATGGATCTCGAGATTATTGCGAGACATATCCAGCTTTTATCCAAACTGCTGAGTGTAGAGCCACTTTCTGAAGTTTTCAAGGAAGGGGGGAAGAGGATCCCAGTTCATGCGTTTAAGACTGGTGGAGGGAAAGTGATCGGTCTCGAGGAAGCGAAGAGTATTACGCGGGAGCAGCTGATGAGCAATTATCACCCGATGGGGTCGTGCATGATGGCGCTGAGAGAGAAAGGAAGTGTGGTGAGTGAGACGTTGAAGGTTTATGGCTTGAAGGAACTGAGTGTCCGAAGGGGAATATTATTACGAGTGTTTACGCGACGGCGCAGAAGGCGAGTAATTTGATCAAGGAGGATTGGAGGGAGCAGTGGGGGGTGAGTTCATTTGCAAAGTGAATGATTGATTTCACTATTTCGTAATGGTATGTAATTTGTTGCTACTTATGCTTGGTTGCAAATTTGCAATATGATTTATTTCCAAAAGGAAGTGAACTACACCTCCTTCGCCTTAGCAAGCGCCTCCCTCCTCCCCGTACTCTCGGGATCAAAATACGGCCTCTCACCCAAACTCACCGCTCTCTGGCCCGTCCTCTCTCCCAAATCCAGATCCAGGTAATCGGGCGTCGCAGCATGGTACACACTCCTATTATCCCAGATCGCCAAATCATTGGGATTCTGCCACCTGTGTCTAACTTGAAGATCATGATTGCCAACCACTAGTCTCAAGAACCAATCAAGTAGACCTTTGCTCTCGCCTTCTGTGAGATCGTTGATATGCTGCACGTGGTGGCCGAGAGCGAAGATCGACTTCCATCCGGTGACAGGGTTGGTTCGTACTACTGGATGCACCGCGATCAGCTGTTCGCCAACGTTTTCAGGGGCACCTCGTGGCTCGGCATAGATTTTGAATCCGTTCTTTTCGGCTGCCTCGTTGAATTTGGGTTGTGCATAGGTTGCCGTCAGACTTTCGAGGAATTTTTGGACAGGGGCTGAAATACGGTCATAGACTTCGTAGCCGGAGGCCCAGAGCGTATCTATCTTTGATCAGAGACTTGGAAATGATGGGGGCTAAGAAGGCTGACTCACCGCCGCCAGTCTTGGGTAATTGTGTCAAGCGCAACAAAGCATAGTCACTTGGAATCGGCTCGAACGTGATATCGGAGTGCCATCCTTCCTTTCCGCTCTGTTTTTTCTCTGTCTGGAAGAGGATGCGGTCTTTGTAGATCTTCTTTGCTTGCTCCGATGAGATGACGCTGATCTCGTCGTCCTTCCCACCCAATTCGCGACCAGAGTTGGAGACGGGGTGGATGTGGAGTTTCGAGGTCGAAGGCTTGCCCGAGAGCTCTCCAAGTCGTTGTACAAGCTCTTTTTGTAGATCGTTGGTAATATCATCTTGCTTTCGGAAGAACACAACGCCGCGTTGGGAGACTGGGAGCCGTCAATAGACGCCAATTTTTCTAGAACCGAGGGATATACTTGTTATTGCCAGATCACGAATAAGCTCATCCGAGTTTGGAGCCCGGAGCCACTTTGCGAGATTGACACCAACAAATTCACGTCCGATGGTTGGAGTGACGTCAAAGCTCTCGAAATGATCCAGAGCACCGGAAAGCTTGAGGGGTTCTTTGTGCTGGGTCTCGAGCTTGGGTTCTTGCACGGCGGGAGCTGGTTCATCTATGTGAGACCCATTGCGATCCTTAACGTCTGCAACTGATACTTTGGCAAGCTTCTCATGGATCTCGTCTGCTGTGTTGGGGACGGTTTCGGCAATGGAGGGGGCCATATTGAGGGTCCTGAATATAATCGATTGAGTGATAAGACGAAATTCTCACTGAGAGTTGAAGATCTTCTCAATGTTCAACTGACGAAAGATAATATGGTTTTTGAGAGAGAACAGAACTTGCCAAGCCATATATGTATTTGAGAGCGCCGTCCCATCAATGGCGGAAGGGTTTATTCGGATTGCATCAGAATCTGTGATTTGATATCCCTTCAAATGATGGGTTTCTACACGGAACGGTGATAAACTTAAAACCGAAGACAAGAGCAGTGCACAAACTGAGGGAGGAATTCCCAAGGACCGACTTCCGATGAATGAAATGCTGCAATTGCTTGGTGTAGCGGGGGACGGTACGCAGAAGCTTGGAAGAGTGGGGTAAATCGGCTCATGTGGCAATCATGGCCCCATGTGGCAGACCGGATCTTCCCTTCTGAGGTCCATGATGACACAAAGTTCCCTGCTCGTTGCGTGCGAGCCACATGAACTTCAAGACTTCCGGGAGACGCGAGCCACAGACCCGGTCAGTACGAGTGAGCTGGACGCCAATCGGTCTTATCTTGACAAAAGGAATTGACCTCCATAGACTTGGCAAGCCATCGACCGAAATATATACCCTTGAGCTCTTGATTTCTATCTCTATATCTGTCGTGGTTGATAGTCTGGGGTCGGGTAAGACAGACTGGAAATTGCGTGCAAATGGTCAAAATAAAGTTTTCACGTGACCCGTGGGGCAAGCTACGCGCCACTCCAACCTCTTGTCTTTTTCTATCTTTTCGGGAGTTGGGCCCCTCGACGGGAAGAAGCTCCAGAGGTTCTCAATGCCTTGCCCTGACATGCTCGACGGGGTTCTCGTCCACATCCACTCTGTTGGGTCATGCCTCGCACGTTCTCGTCCTGTCCCGGCATGGACTTGCTCCTGGCTTCCTGGGTCCGCTTGAATTCGAACTGGGAACGGTTCACAGCTGCGGATGGTGCAATACGGAATCGAAACGCATATTGCTATCCAACCCCCGTATTTGGCTCTGCCATCATCCCAGCTTCCGGTGAAGGACGTGCTTTGAAAGGGAGGTCGCCAGCGGGGGTACTGCCGCTGCGCTGGTATCTGGTCTTCGAATTGGGCGGATGTTTCTTGAGTCCGACCAACAACCAGCCTCTCGGGCTGTCCTGGGATGGGAAGCTTTCTAGGTTGCTTTGTTGCGTATTCCCAGATTCTTATCGACATGATTGGAGGAAACAAGCAGATCAAGCAGCGGGAGCAGTCATTCCACACCTGGATCCCAGCTCTGAGCCATAACTCTTCAGCCATAGTGACAATTTGGACAACGATTATGATTCTCTGATCCAATAAAATAGTCAATTGAAGTGGTCAATTGGAAACTGATAAGCCCATGCATAAAGTTGTGCACCGGTCCCGCAAATGAAAGCACGTTTGGTTCATACTGGATGACGCGAAACGCTCGTCCAAAGTCGCGATGCCTTGGCTTGACATATGCCCACCCCTCTGTTCAAGGCTATGCGTTGGTTTTGGTAGATACTGTCGCCACCGACAGCATGGGTAAGTCACCTAGAACCTCCATGGGATTCATCTTATTCGTTCATGCACGTCCAGCACACATTCCAGCTGCTGGTCTGGCCGTGCCATGGCGCCTCCAGATCTGGCTGCTTTCCTCCAGCTAACTGTACTCCGGTTCATGTCACTTTGGAAAAGAAAACGACCCAGATTGATGAAATGCCAGCCATCTATCGCGTGCGGTCTTCATCCTACCCTGAAAGTGTTTCCGGGAGCCATGGGCGTGGGTCAATCAGGATTTCTTTTGTTTCCAAGTTTATAAGTATTCTGTATTCTCCCTGGTACCAGGTTTCTCCATCTCTACGATATTTATCCAGCCGATCGGGTCAGCCGAAGGTCGAACATCATCATGTCTACCGCCCTCGCAAAACAGGTTAATCTCAATCAACCTCTCGGAGGTGTTCTTGCTTCAGCGGAGTCATCCTCCAAGGGATCATCTGATGATCTCGGCGAGAAGTCTGAGAAGAGCGCTGGCTACGTCAAAACGACCGAGGTTCCATCTGTGGCCGCACCCCTTGGTGTCCCGGCGGACGAGAAAAGATTCTGGTGGCAACGCAAGAAAACCTACGATCCGAATGCTATTGCAACTCAACCTTCAGTATTTGATGATCCCGACACGGCCAAAGAATATCAGCCCCCTTCGACATGGGAGAATCTGCATCGATTCGACCCATCTGCACGATGGACATGGGGAGAAGAACACAAACTGATCCGCAAAATTGACCTCAAGATCATGGTACGAAGCCTCGTTTCTGCTTTTGCTTCTTTTGGACTCACATTTTATAGATCTGGGCTTGTGTCATGTTCATGGCGCTTGAGCTTGACCGCTCTAATATACAACAAGCAGTCACTGACAACTTCTTGAAAGAGTTGAAAATGAACACCAATGGTATGTCAAATCTACTGTTTGTCAAGCACAGCTTAAGGGTTTGCGCACTGATTGTCTGAAGATTTCAATCTTGGAAACACCGTCTTCAAGCTGTCGTTTTTGTGCGCTGAGCTGCCCTCTCAATTGGTGTCGAAGTGGATCGGGCCCGACAGATGGATCCCCGCTCAGTTGATACTCTGGTCAATTGTCGCCTCTTCTCAATTCTGGCTGAGCGGTCGCCAGAGCTTCTTGATCTGCAGATCGATCCTGGGTATCCTTCAAGGTGGCTTCATTCCGGACGTACGTCTTCTCATGTCGACCAACTGAATTGTCCAACTAACAGAGTGTACTCTAGATTATTTTGTATCTGTCCTACTTCTACAAACACCATGAGCTCTCAATCCGCCTTGGGTTCTTCTGGACCGCCATGTCTCTCTCCGATGTATTGGCGGCATTCTTGGCATACGGACTACTACATCTGCGAGGCTTGCACCACCGATCTGGGTGGCGCTGGTTGTTCATGATTGAGGTGCGTTGTTCTCATCAAGCTGAACCAAACCTATGCTGACGATCTTCCCCAGGGTATTTTGACTCTCGTGATTGGAATTGCTTCTTTCATTCTCATGCCAGCGAGCCCTACTCAGACGGCAAGCAAGTTCAGAGGCAAAAAAGGCTGGTTTACTGCTCGGTAAGTCCAGTCCGTGCCTGTACCTCCTTCTTGATCTAACTCTCCTATAGTGAGGAAACAATTCTCGTCAACCGAGTCATTCGAGAAGATCCCGAGAAGAGCAGCATGCACAACCGGCAACCCATCACGCCAAAACTCCTGTGGAAATCTATGTGTGACTACGACCTATGGCTCCTCTACCTCATTGGGCTTACATTCCAAATTCCTGAGACCACACCAACCCAATACCTAACTCAGACTTTGAAAGGTCTTGGATTCGGAACTTTCAAGACCAACCTCCTCGTCATTCCATCCACCGTATTCCACATGATCACGATGCTGGCACTTACCTACGTGGCCGAGATCTGGGGCGAATTAACCTTGACATCCGCATTTGGTCAGATCTGGGCATTGCCATTCCTCATTTACATCTACCTAGTAGACATAACCAAGATCAACAAATGGAAAGCGTTCAGTATCATGAGCTTGCTTCTCAGTTACCCATCTGGTAAGACTGCTTCCTCCCTCTTCGAACTTTTTTTGTCTGTAACAATACATAGCGCATCCAATTCAAGTCGCCTGGAACTCTCGCAATTCAAATGCAGTCCGTTCTCGAACCGTCTCGGCAGCCTTGTACAACATGTTTGTCCAAGCTGGCGGTATAGTCGCATCAAATGTATACCGCGCCGACGATGCACCACGCTACAAACGTGGTGATCGCGCTTTGGTCGCCATCTGTGTTGGGAATATCGGGCTTTATCTTGTGACCAAGACTTACTACGTTTGGAGAAACAACTCCAGGGATGCTAAATGGAACGCGATGACTGAGGATGAACGCGTCAATTACTTGGCTACGACGACTGATGAAGGCAACAAAAGGTTGGATTTCAGGTTCGCTCATTAGATCAAATGAGTCTACATGTCAAGACTTGTTGTGGTACAGGCCAAGGCAGGCCTAGCGGGTTTCCATTCTTTGATGACGGATTTGGAATTGACGAGATCTAGCTTATGTGCTGAGATAATTTGGCAGAATACCTGAACAATACACTCTTTGGTAATTCTCTTCATGTCGGGAGTGCTGTTTTCTACTACGATTTACCCCATTCTGAAAGTGTTGTTGTCACGTGAAAGCTACCTCGGCTGCGAAAGTACTAGCTTCTTCAACATCTTGCAACCTTCTCCTTCTCGTACATTGATCGATGGAACAATCTAAACTTATGAGATTCAATCGTTGTACCTCTATTATATCCGTATAGAACAATGCCGAGGCATGCCTCCGAACACTATAGGCTAATCTTCGCCCCCCGCTTGCGGACTTGGCTAACTGATCTCAAACACATCATAGTAACCCTCTAAACGCCTTCTCATCGGAGGGGCCGATGGCACTTCTCAGAGGCTGAGGTGGCCTAGTGTCACCTGTCGCCGCCGAAAAATCAAATGTAAGCAGCTTTGGACGGCAAAAATTACCAGTGGATCGATTTTGATATCACGCAGGCGACGAAGCTGGGCCGGTCTGCCTGAATTGCCAAGAGCGCAGAGAGAATTCCAAAGGCCTGATAAGGATCCGGAATATGTCTTCCATAGTGCAGATCAACAACAGCAAAGTCAGTCATCCCTAATGTCCCTCGACTCTATTGCCCAATGCTCACGTCGACCAGGATCCTGGGGCGAGTCTCGAATAACTAAATCTGGGAACATCCAAGACATCAACAATGTTGCGGAAGCAGAATCCCTAGTATCCGCGTTCCCGAAAGTGGCACTAAAGAATCAAGTCATCGCAAGTCTGTTGCGCCATTATATCGACTTCCTCGCTCCCTGGTATGATTTCAACGATTCACAAAGCTTGTTCGGTACCCTAGTTCCGTAATAAACCGTGCCAAATGCAATATTGTTCAAAGCTGTCATTGGCTTCTCAGCATGCCATGAATCCCGGATGTCGGGTCAATATAAAAGGGCTGGGTCACGTGTATTATACCGCATGTGTCGGAGACCTACTCGAGGTTTTAAATGATATTCATTCTAAAATATAGGAAGACTATCTGGCTGCTACATGTATTCTCCGATCTTATGAAATTTTGAATGGTAAGTTAATCAGTTCATGTTTGGAGGGGTCTGATAGTTGCAGGTGCCACAAGGCAACAATTGCATTTACTCGGCGCATCCTCCTTTGCCTCAAGCGGACTTATCAATCTCAACCAGCGCGGACTATCTCAGTCTGGAACCTGGAATTGTCTCAGAGAAGAGGTAACGATGGCTCTCGAGCCTCGTCGGCCTGTTCGGATGGGTACGGGTTTCGAGCTTTGCCAGGCGAAAAAATGTCTGATAATATGTGGTCGAACTACATCAGCTACATTCTTGCCAAAGTCATTAACTTCTGTTTCGATTGCGCGGGCGGTACAAACTTGGAGTAGAGAAGTTTAGCTTGGCAGGATTTGGATGAGGAAATTTCAGCGTGGCGCTCGAATCGACCTCAGAGCTTCGACAGCTTTTCCACTGCATCGAGATCCGGGAATGCGTTCGTATCACTCTGGTTGTTCTCACCATGGCACGGCAATCTCAATATGAATTAAGTTCCGAGTATCTATGCTGATTATTAATAATACGAGCAGTGGCCGGAGAACAACATTTATCTGTGGCAGCGATATTGCTTGAGCTGTCAAAGCCTCAGCAGGACACATCTCAATTCGGTATACACGGTCTTGAAGAAAAATCGGGCAGCTATGGAAGGCTACATATTGAAGATCTGCGGATTGGCCTTCACAAATGACAATGTTTCGGCACGGGTGAACGCCTTCGGTCCTCTAGCCTTCTGTAAGTCTTCCTGCATGATCTTGATTGGTTCAAACATTGACGCGAAGCAGGTGGCCGATACATAACTCTACATCATCAACGTGAAGCTCTTGTTAACATGCTGCAAGATGTCAGTTTCCCGACAGGATGGCCAGTACAGCCGATTATTGAAGACTTGAACGACAGCGGGTAAGTGAGGGACGACTCTTGGAGTGAGTTAAACTCAAAATAACTCTTATTCCTTACAAAGCTAAGACAATCCTTCAGAACTCAATGTCAAGCCGATCTTGCTGATCAAAATCATACGCATTCCCAAATTTCCCCTCCAAATACGACTCCTCAACATCTTTCTCTGGCACATACCTCCCCTGAACCACTAAGTCCCTCCCCCACCTCTCAACATCCCCCCTCAACTCCTCCGAGAAATTAACCTCCATCGAATTCCTATCTTCGTTAGCCTCTTTCCCCCTCTCTCAACACTGTCCCCAACTTGGAATTCTACTCACCTATACCAACCCGCAAAATGTATCATCGCAAGCATAACCCTCACCTCACCCATCTCGCCCCAATTCGGCTGCCCACTATGCCAAAGCCTCAAATCCCTCACAACCAAACTCCCCTTTCTCACAACTGGCTGCGCTGGACCGCGCACCTTCCTCCTCTCCTCCATCCACGCCTCCTTTATCCTACCGCTCGCACGCTCACCGTGTTCTCCTTCCTGTGCTTCTTTCCCGAATTGGTGGGTTCCGAGCCAGAGCTCGGTACTCCCGTTCTCGGGTGTTATATCGATGAGTGGGATGTTGATCACCATTGCGAAGGGAGAGGAAGGGTGCTGGAAATCAGCGTCGGAATGTGTGTGTTGTGCTTTTGGCTCAATGCCGGGGGAGGGAGGGAGTGCGCTATTCCCTGAAATAAAACTCAATCGTGGCCGCGGACCAACAATTGACGACGTGACCTGAGTCGCAAGGGGGTTGAAGAAGATCTCCCGATCGAAGAATTTCTTGGTCAGAGGTGGATCTTGCTGGATGTTGCTTTCACCCAATCAGTTTGCTGGGGGGAAGGAGGCGAATTGGGGACGGACCCTTTGTTATAATTATACGGACTCTCATCCCCTTTCGCCTGCAACACCTCCGCATCGTCGACCATCTTCTGATTCAAGAGATCGAGTTTCTCATGCGAGATGGCATTCTCGAGGACCACGAGACCGTCGTGATGCAGAGCTCGGTTCGCGAGCTCGAGGTTCTTCCATGTTAGACTTCCTTGGGCTTCTCTTCTGGTGAGACAGTGACGATTTTTGGGAGGGAGGGAAGTTGACTGCCTCTTCCAACCGATGTTGAGAATCCTCGGACAAAGGAGGTGGAGAGGAGTTTTGATGTGGAGGTCGGGAGAAGGGTCTTCAACATTTTTTGGTGATGTAGAGAAGATCTGCTTGTTTTTGAAAAAGAAGGAAATTTTGAGGTTCAGATGAGGTTGCAGAGGGTTGTTATATACCCGAAATCCGGCCTTTGCATCTAAAAGGGGACATCCAATGAAGGGAGCGCCCAAACGCCTCTCGGCTACCTCGCCTACACTAGACTGTTCGGGAAAGGGGAGGGGTCGATCTCCCCGCTATCAAGTGAGTTCATTACCTCAACGTCAGAGTTTCATATCGTGGAATCCCATTATCCTGTGATTATCACATTGGTCTCCGGAAGAGAACGCAACTTGGGAAGGAGGGGCTCGGGGGGTAAAACTTTAACCCCGCGACAAAGCGGATTACCCCGCACTTCCTGAGAATGCAAGGAACAACATCTTATTTTTCCTGTTGGCAGAAATTGTGAATAAAAAACGAACTGCGGCATTCAAGTTTGAGGATGTCTAGGAGAGCCTGGAGTTTGATTTTGTGCGAAAAATTCATTAAGAGTACTCGATTCGAGAGACTCCATTTTGCAAAGCAACAATCTCGTTCACATGGGCCTCTAAACAACAAGCAACAGATCAGTAAATGAAGCATCCCAAAGCAATTCGATGTAACTTACCAGCAAGTCTCCACTTTCGCTTCACGATCCGAAGTTACTTGTTCTCGAGATGCTTCTTGCGCTTCTTGTCCTTCGTCAATTTTTCCCAACTCGAGTCTTGAATTTGCTCAATTTCCTTCGCTCAGCTCTCTTTTTTGCTGCATTTTCCTCGAATTCTGCTTCATCGCGAACCTTGCCGTGTGCTATACTAGGATTTAATGCTACCTGCAGCAACTTAGCTCGACACGTTTGCACGTTCGCGCGGACCACTTCTTGAGCAAAGTGAAGGGGATAGTGCCGATTTGCTTCAATTTTTAGGAAGACATGATACTCTCCAGCTCCCAAGCCAAGTCTGCGGACGTGGATCGCATTATGCAAACGGTTTATTGGCAGCTGACAATATAGTTCGCATCGCTGGTTTTCTACACCGAGAAAGAGGGTCCAAGCAATATATTCCTTCAAGCCCTTCGAAATATCGCGTGTCAAGCTTATCCTTGTTAGTCAAGCCACACGGGAATGGATTTCCAACTCACTTACGAAAGGATGAGGGCAACAGGTGAAGTCTTCTCCACGGTAAGAGTAAACTTCGTTTTGTGGTATTCTTCAACGAAAGAAACATTCAACAAAATCCACTTTTGTGTAGCTTCCCACTCGCAGGTGAGCAGGCGTACACATTGCACGAGCCTGAACTTTTATAGGAAGAACTCATATTACATCCAGAACTCTCCATCTCGGTGGCCGAGATTTTCCATACCTTCCGAGGTATTCAATGAAATAGGACAGCCAAATTGACCAAAGTCGGAAGAACCAAGACCGCGGAGCTGCCTCGGCTCCCCGGACAGAAGGAGAAGAGGAGTCATGATGTTCCCAGGAACAGCATTCATGGAAAGGATGTCAAATTGATATGAAAATGGGGTTACCTGAGGTCCATCTTTGCTCCCATCACCTAGAATTGGCTAGAGGGTAGGAGAATCATAAAGCTGGCTCAAAACTTACCCTACGGCCCCTGCCATTCGTATTCACCCCATGGATTCCTCAGGAGTATGAATTTGTGCCCCCAGATTTCTACAGCTCAGTGGATAGAATATGTATGGCGGGTAATGAAACCTAGGGTAAATCGCATCAAACACGGATGCACAAGTGAGTAGAAAATCTGTATTGACTTTAAGCAATCGATCGTTCCAGAAAAAGTTTTTGTCGAAGATGTCTGTCAAGAAACGCTCCGTTGCAACGGCCCCAGTGAGATCCTCGATTCCCCCATCTGGCCACCCTGAGTAGAAGCAAAGTCCTAACCAGCCGTCAGCACTCCACCAAAACGTAAGTCTTTGGAATGCTCACCCCATGTACCTTAGCATGCGCCTTTTCTAACAAGGAAAACCATGTCTCATTTGGGTCTTCGCAATGGGCCTGCAAGATCGAGGAGTCAGCATTGCCTGTAAAGGAAAAGATGGCTTGTCGCCGAATGGTCCATTCCAAGAACAAGTCTGCAGAGGTAACCCAGTATGATATATGATTCAAAGTGTGATTTGTGGTCCGCGAATATGCTTATGAAATAGAGGGCCTCTGAAGTGCACTACTAAGATTAACATTGCACATGTTCGTGAAGGATTCAAGAAGTACCTGATACATCTTGCGGTAGTTTTCCTCCTCCGTGATCTGCCGCTGTTTGTTACGCTCCGGGTTCCCAGGTACACGGCTTTTTCTCCAATCGAAACCTGGGTGTTTCAAATACAATTAATTTATCGTCGATAACTTCTGGTCTCCACTCACCATCGCGAAAGAAGACAAATCCATAGACCCCAATTTCCTCATCTCTGGCAATACGGACTTCCTCAATCAAGTTAGGCTTGTTGCCTAAAGCGCCAAGAGCTTCCACGAGCCAGCAATCTCCAATTCGGCCTTGACGAATATCGTTAGGTGTAGGGCCATTGACATAGAATTTCGGATCATCGAATATATTACCGACTCTCTTGACTGATTTTGGCTTGAACTTGCTTGGGTCGTCTTCTATGGAAGTGAGACTATCTAGGCAATATCTCCGACCGAGTTTGAAGTCGAATTCGATATCGAAATCTGGGTCTGAATATTTGCAGTTGAGTCGTCGGCACTCGTAAATTATTCCTTCGACCTTGGCTTTGCATACAGCACAGCATCTTCATATGATGCCAATGCGTTCTCTTCCCTTATAATGTCTCTCGGAGGCTTGTTGCCTGCCTCTCGGGTGTACACGCCCTTCGGTAAGATCGCCAAAACTACAAAAGATATTTCGTTAGTCCATGCCTGAATGACAGGCAGCAACATTACTTTACCTTTCCCTGGATGCTTCGTTTGGACCCTAGCCCAAAAACTTGTCAAGTGCTTCCTGTTTCCTGGGCTCTTGTTTTTTTGCAAATAATATCAGGCTTGCATTCATCTGGATCACCCTCTGACCGGTGGGGTGTATCATTTCGGAATCCATTACAATTAGATTCGACGTTGTAAGGACAGCGTGCCGGTTGAATGCGTCGGTGGTCTAGTAATCAGTAGAATATGGAAAGCCCAGCAGAGAACAATTTCTCTGCGGTGCAAAACTTGAAAAGACAAAACGAAATGTCGCCGAACACAAGGAGAATCCTGCTGGATTCAAGAGAAAAGACAACGAGATACCATCTTGATAGAGCGGGAGGGATCGTAAACCCCTATGATTCTTACCGCATACGGACACCAGCATTAACCGTTTTCGTCGACGAAGACACCGATGCCTCCAGTTCACTGAAATAGCCGGTAGTGTATGCCATACTTCGAGGTTCGGAAAGAGGCTGGTCGTTGGATGTGACTGCATTCGGCGATAAATTGCTTCGCAGCTCGCAATTGGCGTTTGCAGATGGGCAGAAAACCCGTCGAGACTCGATACTCGTCCGAGCTCAACATCCCACCTGGCTTTGGAAGGTCCGCGGTGGTTGAGGGATCATTGACGCGACAAGAAGAAGTGGGATGAAAGTCGGGTTGAAGTCGTGCGGATGTGCCTTCCCAACAGGGTTAGCGCCTTTAACCTTTACTTTCCGCGCTACCGGACTTGGTGGACCGTAGCTAATCGGCTCTCGTCTGAACTCTGACCACGAGATATCAACAAAAGTAGGTAAAGGAAACCTCCTGAAATTTATTATAGATACTCGGCCTTCCCCCCATTTCTCCTGCACTTCCGAGCCACTCACATTCTTGTTATGATCATGATTTCCTTTCTTATCCTCGTTGTGTTTGTCTACTCCGTATGCGCGTCCAAGCACTCGCAGAAATTTCTCGATAATCATGATAGGCCTTCAAATTTCATACAATCTTCGATCTACGGGAAGAATCTTGAACAAAACTCCTTGCCCGATCCTGTTACTCTGCCACCGTCATATCAAAGCCGAGATTTTGATCAAGAAGATGCTTTCGGCGGAATCGGCACATTCGCCCATCTCCCATTCACAGAATGTACCAATTCAGCGAACAGTGGCACTTTCGATATAGGCATCGTTGGTCATCCCTTTGACCTGGGAGTATCCTATCGACCGGGAGCAAGATTTGGGCCAAATGGAGCCAGGCAAGGTGCTCGGAGACTCTCGTCAGTCGGAGGATTGGAGTACGTCACGTGATACAATCGATCGATGGGATAACGCTGAATTTGAACAGTATAGATCATGGAGTTAATCCCTTTCGAAATTGGGCTACAGTGACAGACTGTGGTGATATCAGCAACACGCCATTTGATAAGTTGGTTGCCATTCAAGAGTTGGAACATGGTATGAAGACGATCAATTCGATGACGCCGAAGAATGTCTCTGCTGCAGACGCTGTGAGACTCATTACAATTGGTGGTGATCATACAATCAGTGAGTATGCTTTGAAACCCATCTATTTATTGCTAAATCCATGCGCAGCTTTGCCAATCCTACGAGCTCTGCATTCAACATGGGGAAGAGTCGCTGTCCTTCATTTTGACAGCCATCTCGATACCTGGGATCCAAAACAACTGGGAGGTGGACTGACAAAACATTCCGAAGTCAATCATGGAACAATGCTTCACATTGCACACGAAGAAGGCTTGCTGTCAAACCACAGCAACATGCATCTCGGATCCCGATGTGCATTATTTGATGAGCACTACGACATCGACAACGATATTCGATGCGGGTTTAGTATTATACGAGCCCGAGAACTGGACAAAATTGGTGTTGACAAAGTTGTGAAAAAGGTTTTGGATACTGTGGGTGACGAGTATGTTTACTTGAGCGTCGACATCGACGTGTTGGATCCCGCATTTGCTCCAGCTACGGGAACGATCGAGCCTGGTGGCTGGACGACAAGAGAAGTGAATCCCTCTCCCGGCTATGAAAAGAGCAACACTGACCGAAGTTTTACAGTTGCTGGCAATAATCAACGGATTATCGGAAGCTGGCCTGAAAATCATTGGATCCGACGTTGTCGAGTTCACACCAGTATACGATAACGCTGCTGAGACGACAGGAATCGTAGTCAGTCAGATCATCTACGAGATTTTGCAATGGATGGTAAAAGTTCCCGTCAAGACACCAAAAGCATAGATATCTGAGAGAGTGAGGCCTGGATTCGGCGGCGCAAAAGAATTTCAGCAAGATGGAGCAATTTCTTCACAGATTAAAGGAACGATACTCATAAATTATGGCCTAGGCACCTTAAAGCGCTTGAAAACTGGTTCGCAGTTCACGAGCTTCCAGCACATGGCGGTCGAAAGTGAGGGTGAAACACTTTCTTTTACCTCGGAGTATATTGATCATCGTGAGCTAAAAGTTCAACTCACGTTAACAACGGAGCGGGATTTGATAACCGACATCCCTGCACAGCGAAAATCCCGTAGTACAAATAAATATACTATTAAATCAATATATAATAAATAAGTTTTATTTATAAAGTTCTTGCCTTATAATTAATATGTTCTAATTCTTATATAAGTAATGTTATTAATATTAAAAACTATTATAATATTAAATTATAATATTTGGTTTTGTATAAGAGAATTAATAGTTATTAAATATGCCTCGGCTATACTTGCTACTTCTGGTTTAAGGCCTTAAGCTAAATATACCGAGGGGTGACAATTCGTGTGTTATATGACTGCACATGATTCTCATGTGGCTATTGAGACGGTCAAGCCATGGGGTCAAGGAATATAGTAGTACTAGGGGTTTCAGGAACATATATAATATCTTAAGAGGTCCCTTCAAGGCTCCTCTCCTTTCCCCCTTAGCTTAGGGTCTTTAATTAAGCAGTCTATAAACTTTCATTATTGCATTTCGTACGTGCCGTTACAAGAGGTAGCGGTAACCCTAGCTGAATGTGGCCTTTAAATGTGAGGCACGTAATAGCAGGGTAATGTACAAGTAGTCAAGGTAAGTACGCTGCAGAGTGACGCTTGCAAGTGTAACTGATTTCCAAGAAGTGATTCCAACAAAAGACTAATCAATGCCCCCTTTCAAAGCTATAAGCGTCTCCCTATATATTCCCTAGTGCTTAGCCAAGCATACGAAGCCCTTTACTTAATTAGGAAATACGATCCTGTGCGATTCGTATAATTCCAATGCAAGCATTACCCAAAATAGGAAACCAGATCCACGACATCTGACGTCCGCCCATACGTCGTCACGTGTGCCCATCACATTAAATAATATGGCCTTGGGCACAAGCGACATCCTTTATTAGTCATTAGTTTATCTCGATATTAAAAAACACACTATACTACTATATTGGCGAACGTTTTCAGGCTATTATTCAATCTATTTAACATTATTCTCTATCTGCCGAGGCACCAATCTCCGATTTCTCCGTCTGCCATTCAAGTAATGCTTGGCGGGAAAACAAAGTACTAGGGTGGCTTGTACCTAAGATCCGGGTTCGTGCTTTTACACATTCCTCCATTAGCTTAAAGGCCTCTATATCTCGGCCATATTTTTTCCATATCCAGGCAAGATTGTTTATACTAGTCAATGTGTCTGGATGGTCCGCTCCGAGCTTTATCTTGCTCGTTTCTAGCACTTGCACACTTAGCTCTTCAGCCTTGTCCCATTGTCCTTGGTTCCGGTAAGTCAATGCCAGGTTAGCCATGCTATTTAATGTGGCTGGATGGTCTGCTCCGAGTTTCGTTTTTCTCGCCTCTAGCACTTGCACCTCTAGCTCTTCAGCCTCGTCTAACCGTCCCTGATCCCAGTAAATCGACGCCAGGTTATTCATGCTAGTTAATGTATCTGGATGGTCCGCTCCAAGTTTCGTCTTTCTCGCCTCTAGCACTTGCACCTCTAGCTCTTCAGCCTCGTCTAACCGTCCCTGATCCCAGTAAATCGACGCCAGGTTATTCATGCTAGTTAATATATCTGGATGGTCCGCTCCAAGTTTCGTCTTTCTCGCCTCTAGCGCTTGTACCTCTAGCTCTTCAGCCTTGTCCAATTGTCCTTGGTCCCGGTAAATCAATGCCAGGTTAGCCATGCTATTTAATGTGGCTGGATGGTCTGCTCCAAGTTTCGTCTTTCTCGCCTCTAGCACTTGCACCTCTAGCTCTTCAGCCTCGTCTAACCGTCCCTGATCCCAGTAAATCGACGCCAGGTTATTCATGCTAGTTAATGTATCTGGATGGTCCGCTCCAAGTTTCGTCTTTCTCGCCTCTAGCACTTGCACCTTTAGCTCTTCAGCCTTGTCCCATTGTCCTTGGTTCCGGTAAGTCGACGCCAGGTTAGCCATGCTATTTAATGTATCTGGATGGTCCGCTCCAAGACCTCTCTTCTCGATTTCAAGAACTTCAGCAATTGCAGCCTCAGCCTCATTCCATCGCCCATCTTTGGAGAGGCACATTCCATACCTCCACAAAAGATCCATCCTACTCTGCCAATCTTTGTCGACTAGGTTGGATTCTAGTACATAACGCGCGTGTGGCAAGTATGTTCTCCAGACACTTCTATTCCTGTGGTCTTCGTCTGGAAACACTTCCTCCAGTCGCCTAATTACTCGCTCCGTCGAAGAAGGAAGCAATTTTTCTTTCCGAAGCCAGTTCCGTGTGGACAGATGTACTAGCCGATGGAGGTCAAGAGCAGTATCTGCGGGCCGTTTAGTATGAATGAGTAGGCGTTAAGCGTCCCAATCGCCTCTATCTCTTTCTTGCGCGAAGGTCCTGGAGGAAGAAGAGCCTGTGGGATGTCCTTCGAATCGATGCAACACATAAAGGACAGGTAATCAGCCGCTAAAGGGTCGCGATGCCGGATCTGCTCGAACGAAACTAGCCATGTTGTAGCAACCGGGTTCTTTATATTGTGATATCTCCCGTCGTCCTCAAATTCCTCGCTTAGGAGATCAATAACCTCCTCTTCTTGATCTGCCAGGAGTAATAGATAATCTGCGAATGTGATCCCGTTCTCGTTGATGTATGCTGCTGCCTGAATAATAGCTAGTGGAAGGTAGGTGAGCTCTTCAAGTAAGTCTTTCGTATCTGACCCACTAGTAGCAAGACCCGGATTGACTAAACACTTTTGTAGCAGCTGGGTAGCTACGCCTTCGTCCATTTCCGGTACCTCCACTATATTCTGATGTGCAAGTTTGACAGCCGTTTTCCTATCGCGTGATGTGAATACAATGCACCCTTGGTCACTTCTGGGCAAGTACTCGATTAAACGGCCAGATCCCGGCTCAGACCCAGCCTTCGCAATCCACATATCAATTTCATCGGCGTTATCGAATACCAGGAGCCACTGGCCAGCACTCTCCTTGCTTAGGTAAACTTGCACAAGTTTCTTTACATCTGCCTTCTCCTCCTCGCAACCAGCAATACTAAGCCGTCGGGCAACGTCGAGATATGCTTGATGAAGACTTTCCATGTTGGTCGCTGGTATCCAGATAACTGAGCAATTCCTATACTTTTCTCTGATTCGGTAGACGAGTGCAAGCACTAACTGGGTCTTTCCTACACCTCCGAGTCCGGTGATTGCAACCTTGGTCGTTTGCTCTCCCACGAAAAGCTTTCCTTCAAGCTGAGCAAGCTGGGTCCCACGACCCGTAAAGTTGGGATTTCTGTCGAATGGTACGATAAAAGGAACGAGCTTTTCTGAAACCTAAACTTAGTATAGGCTAAAACATGATAGAGACTCCATACCTTCTAGATCTTGCGGCTCGCCAATACTATTAGAGAATCCTTTTACTGTCATTTGAAGCCGTTTCAGTGCCACCTCCTTCCCCTCGCCATAGATAGGCGGCATAGACACTTCGCAGAGACCCAGTAAACAGTACACAATATCTTCTTCTTTCGTTGTCTGGCGTCGTGCTGCCCATCTTATCCGCTCATCTATATTGAAATTAGAGAATGGATTTCCTCGCAGAGCTTGAATTGGAATTCCCGTGATCTCTTGGATTGACTTTTCTAGTGACTGTTTATCGCCTAATTGCTTGCCTTCTTTGGAGAAGAATTCGACCATTGATGGAGCTATAAGCTCTTGAAGTGTCCAGCCTCTGCTAAACCACCTGCTATCCCGGAAAGCCGCTTCCCATAGGTATTGGCGTGCCTGAACGTCCGCGTCATAGCCAAGTATTGTCACATCCGCGAGGTATACGTAACATTTCTTCGCATTTCGATACCAGCGGAACATTGAATTGATAGCCGTTATAAGCTCATCTGTATCTGACTTATCAATGCAGCAGGTGTCTACCCAGAAGTATCGCAGGCCATCTCTTGTCGCTTGTTCTCCACAAAACTTGATCTTGTCGTAGCCAGATTTGCTATTGCCCGTACCATTAACGAGATCCTGATATGTGACCTCTTGGCCATCTGTCCAAGTGTGCGAGAGTATTGCGTATGAGGGAGTGGTATGGGAAGAAACCTGGACCAGGCTGAACTCGCCAGGGCCTTTGATCTCCAAAAGACGCATGATTGCGTACGGATTTAGGATCTCGTATGTCTCCTGCGGGGCTGAAGAAGTTGAGGTAAGATCAAAATCACGATCCTAGTCCAGAGTGGAGTGTGGGATAAGAGTGTCCAACGCAGGGTAGCCTTTTGCAAAGGTGTGGAACAACAGCAGCATGTGATCCCTTACGTGGCGCGGGGCAGACTACTGTAGTAGGATCAACTAGCAAACCGCCCATGCCCCCAGCCGGCCTCCATTTCACCACAACAACGATATAAAACGGAAATTTTGAGTATATATTCGTGACCAGTAACCTTAGTATATTAATTCTTGAAGTTTTCAGCATTTTCCTAGTACATTTAAAAAAATCTCAAAATTTTGGTGTTCTAACGTAGTTTTGCCTCTGGACGTCGGTTAGTTCCAACTTTTCAAATCGAAAAGAGGAAAAGGTACGGAAAGCCGTAAGGATCACTTGTGCCAGCGCAAACCCCACCAAAAATCGCCCACGCTCACAACCCCCCCGCAGCACCCCACTTAAATATTTACTCTCTTTACGGAGATTCCTCTCGCTCTCTATCCCCTCGCCTAGTGAAACATTGCTACGCTAGCGGCCGCACACGAATATCCCCTGTTCAGTCAGAATACAACCGCCTCCTCCAATCAGGCCATCCGCATTAGGCGGCCGCTAGCGCTGGCAATGTCTCACTAAATAGGGGTTGGGGAGGTGGGATATAGGGAGGACGGAAGGGGGCTGTACCAAAAATCTATGTCGCACTCCACGAAAAAGTCGAGCATTGAATTTTTAGTACCTATAGCCTGTCATTATAGGGCTTCCTTTCCCTCGCGACTCACGAGCCTCGAAGCTTGCTTTTCTCACTTTTCACTTGTTGCTTTTCACTTTTCACTTTTACTTGCTCGCTCTCTCAACCCCTCCCCCCAGATCCCCCTCTCCTACCCCTATACTTATATATAGATAGATAAGAATTAAAGAGATAGAGTAAATATTTAAGTAGCAGTAGAGGTTTAGGGAGAAGGGGGGGCGGTGGTGTATGGGCGTGGGCGATTTTTGGTAGGGTAGTGAAAATCAGATTTCGTGTTTTGCGTTTTGCGCTGGCACATTACGTTCTCGCGGCTTTCCGTAAGGTTGGGTCGTGCCTTTATTTATCCCTTCGTCCGCCATGAACTATCCACGCTAGCAGGGGGGGTGTGGCTGCACGCAAGCCTCTTGAATTGGAACGAAGCGAGGTGAGGCTTGCGTGCAGCCACACCCCCCCTGCTAGCGTGGACAGTTCATGGCGGACGAAGGGATAGAAACCGCGCGACAGCCTCATAAATTCTAAGTGAGGCTGCGCTAGGCTACGCTGGCAGCAGATTTCCTCCGCCTAACACATTATCGAACACGAATTTCTGAACCACTTTGCAGCAGTTGTAGGACGGTGCAGCATGGTATCCAGAAGGCCGAGATCGTCTCGCCAGCCAGACGCAACCAAACATGACACCGTTCAGGCGAGCAGTCCAGCTTCCATGTCCTTGACACCTACTGACGGCCTCTCAGAGACCAGCGAAGAAACGACGCACTGGAACAAGGAACGACGCTCCGCTAGAGTCCTTGGAGCCGACCGCTGATTCCAACAAGTCACAATGGACTACATATCGAGTGAGCCCAATACCGAATACCTACAACGCAACCTCCTTCCACGACGCTCTTCGTATCAGTCTTCGGCTCGAATCACATACAACATTGACCATCCACTCCTTCGGTTCGGACTGGTCGCAGCAGAGAACCGCAACGATCACATTCAGCGACACTCCTTCCGGGCTATACTCAGTTGGGGTTGATGATGTCTGCGGCAAGACAACAGAATGGAAGGTGAACATTGTTCATCCATTGTCTACACAAACCGACACTGTGTGCATTGATACACACTTTAAGGGTTTTACACCTGTTTCCCCGCTTGCTAATGACGAGGAACATTTGATTGAGTACGTTGCTCGGTGTAAATTGAGAACGTTTGCTGATCTATAGTCACAGCTGTTATTGCGCTATACATGCGCTGGGGAAGTCATGCGCTTGGAGGATTCAAGCCCATAATGATACTTACATGGTGGCTTCGGAGATTCCCTGGCCAAAGGACCTTCCTCGATTACGGGTATTCATATACGGATACGCATGTGATTTGACCACGGCCGAATCGATCAGTGGGGTTGATGATTACGCAGATACCGCTTAGGCGGGCTGCTTAGGAACAGGCGGGGTCCAAGAACAAGGTAGGAGCACCTCGATTCGCCTGCATGCCGTCGCTGACCCACGAAGACCGGTCCTCCAGTACCCCTGGTGTTCATTGCTCACCAGCCTTGGTGGCATAGTCCTCAAACAGTATGTAGGTTTATCCATCGCAACAAATCATTCGTTTTCTTGGCTTAACTGTCGGAAAGGCACGTTTTATACGGATGTCATGAAGGAAGAGTTCTGATGAGTTTTGGTCACGTTCTAATTTACAATTTGATTCTAGTTCTATGTGGAGTCCTTTGTTTTCGGTCTTGTGCCCATGCCAAGGCTTATGTATACCCGCGAAGCAGTGGCTTTGGCTGTTATTTTGTGTCGGAGTACAACCCTCACACGATAATCGGATTTGTCTCTCTTGCTTCGACCAATAGAGGTGTGGCCATCGTATGTTCTACGTGTGCCGTCACCACCCAGATCACGAGATTGCTGTAAACGTGATGGCTGCTTGTGATCTATCCAAAGACTCAAAAATCATTCCAGTTCTTTGAAACGAGGAAGACGTCTACGTCATTGAGGGTAGCGTCGGCTACTTGGTGTCGTCTGTAATCGATAACTTAATAAAACAACGACCCAGTTGCAAAGAAGTGGACTCGTGGCTGAGTCGACAACGTTGGCCGTCCAATCACCTGCGTCAGCAACACTTCGGTCCGCCACTGCGAAAACTCGGAATCGGATTATCAAAGTGGTCTATTGACGCGGATCATAGCGAATGGTGGAATTTTCCCAGCATTTGATCAAGACGGCTATATAGGAACCGGCCCGAGATGAACTACGAACGGTTTGCAGAAGCGCAAGCCTATGACTGTAACAGAAACAGAGCTCCAGCATAGAATCTCATAAAGAATAACCGTATCATCCGGCACGACCAATAAGTGCAAATCT